AATGGATTTTAAGATGCGAGACGTTGTATTCGTGATATATCTGATATGCATCTTTTTGTTAAATACAGAAGCCTCGAACGGTAAGTGATTAACACGATCAAGGGCAATTTCATTTCCGTATTTCATCGTGTATATAAATCTATCCAAAATGTTTTACAATAGACGATTTAGCCTGAAGTTAGAACCAATAGTTTTGGTAAACACCTATTTGCATAATGATCTATGGACAAGCACAATTTTGTGTTCTTATCTAAAAACTACTAACTGTAGATTGAAGAGTCATGGATTAAGTTTTCAACATCTTTAATAACAGTCATACTTGCAATGAATACAACCATTCAGCTCATTCGAAAAGTTTTTAACGTCATAATGGAAACAGGTAAGAGGAATGATTTTTGTTTTGGAGAGGAATGGGGAAGAGGCTATGACAATAAAGCCGCCGACATTGTCTTCAGTATCAAAGTTATTTAAATTATTTTTAACATCTCATTTGCACATTTTCTATAATCCTTACCTTTTAAAGAAATGATTTTGGCTGAGCACCTAATTGCTCATAATCATCTAAAATCAGGATCAGGATACTTAATTAATTTGGGTTTTGCAGATTTTCAGCCGAAAAGAAAGCTTAGTTGGGGTTGACTGGGGCGTTACAGTTATATTTCTTCGTAACTTTTTTCTTTCTTCTTCTTTGTTTTGACTTTTCTTCATTCTTGCAGAATGTGAGAGCAACCCGTGCCGTAATGGAGCGACATGTGTTGATGGACCGTATGGCTACTACACGTGCTTGTGTACAGAGGCATGGCATGGACAAAACTGCGACATGGAATTGTTAAATTATGGTAAACAATAACCCTTTTAACTTGAATACACGTATACCTCCTTAATACCTTTTGATTTTATGTATGCTTATATTATCCAGCATAAATTTACGTTGTAGACGTAAATTAATTTAATGTCGGCATGAAGTGATAAAGATGTTGAATTATTCCAAATGTTCCATGACGCACTTATCTTATAGTTTCGCAATGGTTTGTCAGGAGTCCCCAACCAGGAACACTGTCGTATTACGATTTATTACGAGGGATCGAAAAATCACGAAAAATATGTTTTTATTACCTCTGCAATACAATTGGAAGAAATGACCTTCGCACTTTTCTTCTCATTTTCTCTCTCTCTCTCTCTCTCTACGATCAAGTGTCCAAATATTGACATTGCTTTGTTCTTTACAAATCTACGTCACAGTGGTCTCAATAGCACTATTGTATTTATCATTGAGAAAGCAGAAGTTGCAAATATGGATTTTCTTTTGGAGACTCTTTTATTATTCATCAAATTCAATCTATCTCTATCTGATTGCACTTCCAGTCATCTTTGGTGGAAATAATGTAACTTACACTGTTACCCGTACAGTTTAAATAACTTTTAGTTCACCACTTTTCATGAAATGCTTGTGACAATTATTTACAAAATGACATTTCTAAGTTATTAGTTTAATTTTTTTTTTGTTATTAATATTATTGTTACAGCTTTTCTTCATCGGCTTTGAATATTGGATTTTCGTCAACATCAAGATAGGCAATGACTAGATGTAAGATTGTGTGCACATGAGAAGGGTATAACCACTACAGACAATTATTTGTTTGTATACTTTATGGTACCTTGTTCGTGGCATTGTCTTGTGTTGACATCTCTTTTGTATTTTCCTCGATGTGAATGGTTGATTAAAAAAATAATGTATCTCTTATTCAAAGAACCTTGCGAGAGTGGGAACTTCTACGACTACACTGGAGAGATTTTAAGCGACGATTACCCCGACACACTGGCAACTCGTCTGAGGTGCTACCTGTTAATTCGGATCCATGGAGCTGAGACAATCAACATTACCTTCACCGTATTCGACATTCATGACCCAACAGATGTAGTATACTTCGGATACGGATATGAGGTCGATTTCATCAGCAATGACCCTCTTTGGACCATTGGGGGTGGAGGGTCATCGCCTCCCCCTAATGTGTTTACTGTCAATGGTTCGGCAGCCTGGCTTATAGTGAAGACGAGTGTAACCCCCTCTTCACAAAGATATAAGCTCACCATAAGTGCTGGTAAAGTAATCTTTGTTGATACATTATCCCTTTTTTGGTCACTCTACAGGCAATGTATTTTTGTCTGTTTGTTATATTATTTTTCTTTTGTGTTTGTTGTGTTTTTCTTTTGTTTCATATAAGATTTGAAAATCAGTTCAGGATTTTAACTTTTAATCGTTCATACCTGTTAATTGTATATCGGTAGCAAAGAAGACTTGCTACTGAATACTTGATTGTATGAAATATATTGTTGTCGAGGATTGTAGAAGTTTAATCTTGTTTATTGACTCACCGACCTCTATCGCATATCATTTTTATCATATTTTCCCGATGAAGAGCGCAAAATGCAATTAACCCAAAATTTACATAAATCTAAATTTGGTATCTATTTTCCAGTTACATGTATTTATTTGTTGTCTAAAAATTCATGATTCCGAGGATTTGGAATTCATCAGGATTCTTTCTCCGTAAGTTCATAATTCCAGGGGTTCATGTTTCTGAAACTGAAACACGGTTCATCATTCCGAAAATTTAATTTTGTTAAAAAATTAAAGTTCATAATTGCATAAACGGCATAGAACCCTGTATCGTGTTTCGGAATTACGAGCCTTCGGGATTATGAACCTTCGAAAAATCGAGTGCCTCTCTATTTCTCCTATGTTCGACCATTACAGATGGGAATGACTGCATTAACAGACAATGTCCGGTGGGAAGATGCGGTGATCTTATCAGAGATTATACATGTAAGTGTTTATTTTGTTTGTTTGTTTGTTTATTTATTCATTTGAATTTCATTTGTGTGTCTTTGTTAATGCTTCTTTTTGCATGACTGTTTGGGAATGGATCTTTATTGCCAACTATACAAACTATACAAAATTTCGCAACGACTCAGCCAGCCGCTGAATAAGCGGGGGGGTAAGAGGTCACTTTTTTTTTTTTTTTGTCCTAAAAAATCGCAACGACTCAGCCGACCGCAGAATAAGCGGGGGGGGGGGGGGGGGGGGGGGGGGGGGGGGGGGGGGGGGGGGGGGGGGTAGGGTAAGAGGACACTTTTTTTTTTTTTTTTTGGTATCGAAATTTGAAAATTTGACATTTTGCTCCGTTGGGGGGGGGTAAGGTCATCTTTTTGAGGTCATGTCATAGGAATTTTTTTTTTTTTTTAATTTTTTTTTTAATAAAAAAAATAAATAAATAAATAAATAAATAAAAAAAGGGGGGGGGGGTTTAAGGAAATTTAGGGGGGTTTACACAAAAAAAAATACCAAAGGGGGGGGGGTTTAACCCCCCCCCCCTGTGTACGCGCCTGCAAACGGGTATGGTTGAAATGCAATTTCGCATTCTGATTGACATCATAGTACTTTGTTGATGTGTATTTAATAGTCCTCTCGAGAGGTTAAAAATTACATAGCTTATTTCAGGCAAAGGCGTGTTAAAAGGTACTAAGCAAACAGATTTGTTTCGTTTGCAGACGTCTTGGCATCGTTATAAAGCAACCGTCATAAGTATGAAGTACGAGATCACCGACCTCCTTTTGAAACGCATGTTAAACTTAACACACGTAAATGTATATCAATAGTATGTTGGAAAAGAAGTATATTTGGGACAAGTTTCCCGGCACATTTCATCTAAATTTACTACTGTACTTATCATTATACTGGTGGGACTAATATTGTGATGCTCATAAAGAATAATATTCTTAATATTCTTTATTAAAGGTCCTTGCTATCGTTCGTGTTTCAATGGAGGAGTATGTAACTTGCATGGCGAATGTGATTGTCCACAAAACATATCTACCGGTGTGAATTGTGAATCTGGTAAGTGCAAAAAAGTCGTTCTCTCTCCCGCTCTCTCTCTCTCTCTCCCTCTCTATCTCATCATATTTTTGCTATTACATCATAAGTTCGATGTCATAGATGTATTTTACTTTTTTGGGGGTACAATTTCTCATAATACTCTACATATCACATTTAAATCAATATTCGTTGCCCACTAATGTAAATTCATTTATTAAATATGAACCTTGTGGGTATGGTCTGGGGTTAATGTACTTCTACCAACCTTGAAGAGTAGCCAAGCTTCTATCCACTCCTGTGGACTTTGACAAATTATTTTTTAAATTCTGTTGTTTTCTGCGATGGATTGTTTGGGTTTTTCGTACCAGTTCTTTGCGAAGTTCCTGACTACCCCGCCCATCTGGTCGAGGCAGGTATGCCAACCGATGATACGAGCTGCTACCCACACGCTCTTATACTGCAAGACGGTACATGTCGATTCGAGTGTAAGGAGGGATACAAATTAGTGGGTGACCCTACAGCAAGGTGTGGCGCCGATCGAAATCTCTCGTCTCTGCCTACTTGCCATGGTTAGTAATTTGTAGTATACGACATAAAGACGAGTCAAGTTTAATCAAGGAGTTATTTGTTTTATTCTTTTCGGTTTAAAACATAAATGAACCTTTCCATTGGCACAAGTGTCACTGTGCAAGTTTCTTGTTTGCCACGTTTGCCGATCGGCACAAAACAATATACATGTACATCAATGAATAGAGAGATTGCAATTGGCAACACAGAACCTTTCCAAGAAGTACCTTATTTCGGTCTTGGTTAATTACATGTACATGTCAATCATTTTAACATCTATATAGAGAGTTTTTAAGCTGGAAATAATTACATCATCTCGAATCCCTTGGTATAACTATCTGACTACCCCGTAAGAAACGCAGTGAAGCATAAAATATCATGAAATGTAAATACCGGGTATGTTTGCCTCTGTATCATGCGGTTCATTTAGAGTCGCAAGGGATTATAATTCAATTTTAGTCCCCTTGTAACTAATATTATGACCCTCCCTATAGTTGCATGTGCTATCCCTACCTCCTCTGAGTTCCTAGTATCCATAGAGGGTAATTGTTTGGACATGGATGCCGTCATAGAGGGGCAAACATGTACCTTTGGATGTCAGGAGGGGTACAGGCTGATAGGAGAATCTTCTATGACGTGTGGTTCAGACGGTGTTTCGCTTTCTCTTCCTAGATGCCAAGGTAAGAAATGAGATTCATATGATTATAGTTTTTTTTTTATTGAAAATAAAACGTAACGACATCGCATACAAAAATAATAACATATCAACAAAGAAAATGGATGTATACAGAACACGGTACAACACAGGACAATACAACACAAAACAGCACAACACAAATGCCTCACTCTAGTCAGTTACATTTGTACATGTAAAAGCTCACCCTGACATGCATCAAGGTTATATATCATGTTAGAAAACCGGGATTGGACTCGTCAAGGAGAGGCTCCACTGAAATACAGTAATATTAACAATATAATTTCATAAATGACAAATAAGGAAGTATACAATTTATTAAATACCAGGGTACCAACATTCTACAAGAAAGAAAGTGACCATTTCCTAAAGTGGGAAAAAGTAGGAACGCTTCACGATTGTGCGTGTCATCTTTGTGCAAGGGGCCATGCTAAACTTCTCTATTTCGTTCCAATTTTAATAGATGTCAACAATATCTTGTCGACTCATATGATAATAGTTGATGTAGCAAATAATTACCTCAATAAGTAGTTCTAGAAGCAGTAGCAGAAAGACCTCTAACCTATCATGACGGATTTACTGAAAAATAACTGTCTTGGCTGACTTGGGTTTTACCGTGATGAAATGAATGATTAATCAATTAATAACGTTTATAAACTATTGCATGCTCAAAGTTATATTACTTATTTCTCTACTTCTGGATACCTTGTTCTCGTTCTCTTTCACATAACTTCATTGCTAAGTAATGATAGGCCCTATCAAATGTACTGAAAACATTGCAGTGGTTTATTTTCAGTTACTTATTCTATTCCAGAAGATAACTACAAAGTAGGAATCATAATTATATAATTTGGTTTAGTAAAAAATAGCCTGAAGAGCGTTCCCAGAGATGGCGTTCATTTATGTCGGCTACAATATTATTTCACTTATCTTATTCTCTGTCGTGCATACAATGGCAGTTGCTCGCTGCGATATACCATCCCTACCATCTCATCTTAAGAGTACCAGTGCGACATGTAACGCCGGGTCAAACATCGAATACGCTACCACATGTGACTTTGACTGCCAGGCGGGCTTTACACTCATGGGCATGCATCAGTTATCATGCAATACCGAGGGCCAATTGACCGGGGATCTCCCGACTTGTGAAGGTAATAGGGGCGGATCCGGGATTGTAAAAGAGGGGGCGGGGCATGATATTCCGGAGGGGAAATATGGTGGTGGTGGTGGTTATTTTACCTGCCTGCTAAGAAAGCATAAATGCTTTTAAGTAAGCAACCAGACGGCCGACGGCTGTAGGTCTTCTCCAAGGGACCTGGTAATGAGGATTAATGCCTTACCAAAGGGCACTAGCGCATCGACTTGGTTTCGAACCCGGGTTACTGGATTACGAGGCCACTGCTCTACCAACTGAGCTATCGCGCCTCATCACATTCGTTGGGTGCCTTTTTATTCCACACTTCTTTAACAACCCCCAAAAGTGAGTCTCCAGACTTTTGCTCGCCTTTATATCACATAGCCCCCTGACAAGCAAAAATGTATACAACAATCAGCAACAGAAAAAGGGGTACATTCTTGGGGTTGTATACTTAATGTATGCCACTTCAAGGGGGTCAGGGGTCGGTTGTGCCCCTTAAAAACCTGCCAGTGCACTAGACAAAACTTGAATGAAGTTTGTAATTGAAGCCTTTTTTTGTTGTTAATTGAATTATTTAGTTGACCATTAATGGTACACTTACTTTTTCGATCTAGAACAGTACATACAAAAATGAACTGAGGTAATAATTCCAAACAGGGATATAGTTATACAAGAACATTTATTTCAAATCTCTGCAACTTTCGTAGTAAAAGTGATAAGAACCCAACTTTATTTAATAAGTTGAAGCCTATATTACCATTATTATTATCATTATCATTTTTTTTCTTAAAATACATTATCAGAAATTTCACATGATGACGACGATGATGGTGATGGCGGCAATGATGGTGATGACGACGCTGATGGGGATGTTGGTGTCATTGACGATGTCGACGATGATGACGAGATGACGGCAATGACGACAATGCCTTCAACAACGGAGACAGCCACCCCTCCAGAATACAACGCGACTTATGGGGGTTTGACGACGATGGAAGTCGTAATGATTGCCGGCGCCGTTATCGGTCTCCTCATCATAATCAATCTGGTCATCGTGATAACTTGTTGTAGGACGTGCCGCCGAAAACGGCAAGAAAGGAGAGAGCGTCTTATGCCTATACAGTCATTTGTTACCGTACCACCGGCAACTGAAAATGTGAGTTTCAAGTGCCCTCTTTTATAAGCAATGTATTTTTAGCTAATTTGATTGTAGCGCGGCAATTAATTGTATTAGTATTTTATCTAATAACAATTCCATGTAAAGATATGTGCTGTTTTAATTGACAAGTAGCCGTTCAAAATGTTTAAACATTACCCGAGCCGCCATAATTTATTAGCTCTTATCGCACACAATTTAGCTCCCAAAACAGATCCTCTCTCACTCTCTCTTCGTCTTTGTCTCTATCCTTCTGTCTATCTGTGTATCTATCTCTTTACATTTCACCTCTCTCTGCCCAATTGTTTTCTCTTAATTTTTGTTATCAAGTTAGATTTTGTTATGAGAATTATCTTTCTTATATTTTTCTCTTCCTTCTTCGTCGACTCTCGATTTGCTCTTTTCTTTCTATCCCTTTCCCACTTAACATTCGTATTCTTTCCCTCTCTTGGTTTCTATCATCCATGTTTCTTTTTTCTAAATCATTTTTAGCGTTATGAACTAACTGTAGTTGGTCCACCTGTCGAGCCACCGAAAACAGATCCAAACCCATCATGCGTGGATGAATATAAATTCCCAGTGGACCGTCTTCGCGGACTCCACTTGACTAAAAATCTCATCGATGGCGGTTCGTTCGGTCGAGTTTACCGCGTCGAAGCGGTTGGAATCATGGAAGGTCAGGACACAACTATAGTCGCGGTCAAAATGCTACGAGGTTTGTTTGACTGCGATGTTTGTTTGTTTTGTTGTTTGTTTTGTTTTCCTTGTTTGTTTGTTACTTTGTTTACTACACTCTACACAAAATATCCACTTTTAAAGTAGTATAAGAAGACATTAAAGTAGGTCTTTTCTGAAGTCATATTTTATTTAACTATAATCCAAACGCGTAATGATTATTGTCCACATTTATTAATGTAGAAATGCCATATTTCAACATATTGTGCCCTTTGCAAAGTTATAATTTTTTTTCTTTTCTTTGAAGATTCAGCCACAGAACTTGACAGGGATAACTTCTCGAATGAACTGCAGACAATGAGAGATATACCGTGTCATCCAAACATTATCAGGCTACTAGGATACAGCATAGCCGAAGATGGTTAGTATCTGCTTTTAAAAAGAAAGTCCATTTTCGTTTTTGTGGTTACATAAACCAATCTTACTTCAAAACGTATCAAGTAACTGCCTATTGTAAATTCGTAACCATTCAATCGAAAAAGTCAAATATCAAATCAACACTTAAAAGACTCCAGGTGCAACGGCATTTGAAAAATAGTATATATTTACACTTGTAACATTCTACATGGATCAAGCATGTTAAACTTGTAAATCTACCATTTGAAAGGGTCGTCACTCCGCGAAATATGGAAAAACAAATTAGACATTTCCTAGAATGGTACCTTCCCTGCCCTGAAGTGTGTAATTCTACGGTCCTTTGTGCCTTTGGGCCACTACCTAGTAGGGTTTGGCGAGTCGTGTCATCTTTGGTAAAATAAGACTTTGTAATTGTGTTTTTTTTTTTGGTCTGTTTGTTTGTTTGTTTTTAAATCAGGTTAAAGATCGTCCATGCTTATTTTATGGGTAGTTTTTAAAGTTAAGGCTTCTAGGGATATGGTCAGCATCATTTTATTTTTGGTTCGGGTTTAATCGGATGAGAGGGGAGGATCAAAGTTGATGTTGTAGACATTACTATGGTAAAAAATAACAAATGGCGTGTTGGACCAATGGACCCTACAATCAGTTATTGTAAGAAGGACTACATAGGGCGAATCCTTACAAAATGTTTTCATAAAATGTGACACGTAGGGCCGGGGTGTCCTAGTCGATCGCCTTAAATATGTCTTGACTAGAGATGCACAGGCCCGATGCATAGGTTATGAATTCGATCCCCAACAAGACGCTTATGTCCTGTGGGTGTGAACGTCATTGTCCGTTTTTTCGGCATTGTGTTGGCATCGTTCTGGCTAAAAAATGCTCGCCCAAAGTTTGGAAAATGTGCCGACCGTGTGTACTGGCAAGCCTTGGTGTTATGATTCATTGTATAGCCAATAGACATCGTAGAGGTATTGGAAGCTGTATCAACTCCGAACACCTTTGATTGATATTGATATCATTAATAGGCTGACAATATAACTGTCTTTCTGTATCCATGGTTACAGGCTCCACCTACATCATAATGGAATACTGCCCCAATCAAAGTCTGCGTCATTGCCTGACCCAAATGGCCAAGGAGAATCGTCAGCAGAACGTCAATGTGTCATCGGAACAACTTCTTCGCTTTTGTGTTCAAATCGCCAAAGCTATGGAACATATCGCTCAAAAGAAGGTATCTTTAACCAACAATTTGTTTTAAAAAATACAGTGCATGTAGTAAGTATAGTGGTAAACGATAAAGTACAGGGAACGTAATGCTTGTTGCTCACGATGCGTCGTTCAATTGCGCCATCACTTGCGCTATAAATGACACTGTGAAGGCAATTAGCCTATACGTCAGTAATTTAAGCAATATTTAAACTATTCATCTTGCATTCCTTTTTATTCAATTATTATTCTCTTGGGGGGGGGGGGTCATGACTTTCTTGTGGCACGGCCTAGTCATTGACGCCATCCTAAGTCATCGAAACGACGTTTCGTGTGCAACAAGCACCCCCGTATAATGTTCATTCCTGTTATTTTTCTACGATAGATGATACCTCATGGGGTGTTTTTTTTGCGACATGTTTAAAAACTACAATTTTAAATGACCTGCTCACATGACCAAGATGATTTTAACGTTCATCCTTCTAATGACGTATAACTCAATCCAAAATACTTTCGAAAAATCAACCTAAGCAAGTTTCAAAATCCTTGTTCATCGCCTTTTTAAATGTGCGAAAATTATTATGACATACGATTTCGTAATCCAAACATAATTTCTTGAAAATCTATGCGATCGTGATGAAGTATGTTTCTTTTATACCCATTAAACATTATTTATCATGATAACCAACATCAACATCCCATGTTTCTCCATGTCCCAGATTGTTCATCGAGACCTCGCAGCTCGTAACGTTCTTCTGGGACCAAGGCTCGAGTGTAAGGTGGCCGACTTCGGCTTGGCGAGGCGTGTAAACGATGACGAGGAATACATTATGATGTCACGGGTAAAAGAGACGTACTAATTGCGTCATTGATCAACACGCTTCACCATTTTAGAAGAAAAAAATCTAGGAATCACGTTAATACAAAATTCCCTCATCTGTTTAGTATATTAATAACTAGACTTCAACATTTTCTCAGAACATTGACATTTTTGTCGTAAAATAATGGGGTTTTTCATGTAATAGCTTTTATGTTTTTTTTTTTGTTTTTTTTTGGGGGGGGGATTAATGGGTCACTTATGATACTAAACCTCATTTAAACTTATGTAAAGAAGCAAATTAGGGGCTAACTATTTTGTCGAAAAGCTGTTTTAAGTTAGGGATCATAAAGATTGCCGTATGGGGTCGTTAGTTCAAAGGCCTCAGAACCACTAAGCTAATGGCTCATTTTGTAATTTGTTTCTTTCTCAGTGTTATCCCAGTCCTTTATGGAAAAGTGCAGCGTATACAACAACAACAACAACAAAAATCGCTTTTGTAAAATTATTGTATTTCCTTTATCCTGTCTTTCCTCTGTAATACAGGGACGTGTTCCCGTGAGGTGGATGGCACCAGAATCTCTACGTCATGACGTGTACTCCACCAAGAGTGATGTCTGGTCATTTGCTGTCCTCATGTGGGAGATATTGACGCTTGGTAAGATTTAGTTTAAAACAATAGCTATCAATATTTTGCCACATTCACTCTAAATTCCCAGAACATTGTTCCTCGTATTATTGAACTAACGACTCCCCACTTCATTACTCAATAGCTGTCCTTAGTTTCTACTGTTTCCATCAGGATCTATTTCAGTTCCGATATCGGGTACCTCATTTTGTAGCCTTCCTCCTATATATGCAGGCGCGTACGCAGGGGGGGGGGGGGTATTTTTGGTATTTTTATGTGTATAAACTCCCCTAAAATTAATTTTAAAAAAATAAATTATTCCCATGGCTGACCTAAAAAAGGTGACCTTACCCCCTCCCAAAGGAGCAAAATGTCAATTTTTTAAATTTCGAGACCCCCCCCCCCCAAAAAAAAGTGTCCTACCCCCCCCCCCCCCCCCCTCCTATCTGTTAAGTACTCAGTTGCGAAGAGTACAATTAAGTTGCGATTGATTTGATTCAATCTCAACTCTTTATAAGACGAGGTCAAGGTCGAATAATGAATTTGATAAAAGAACTCGTTAGGTCGTTAAAATTAGGCACATATAAGGCAATCAGAGGTTTATGGGCGCTCTCTCATTATCTCCCTCCCACTCTCAGTCTCTCTCTCTCTCTCTCTCTCTCTCTGTATTATTATCATTACCCATCCACTACCTCCCTCTGTTTTGTTATATTCCTCGCAGGAGCACGTCCTTACACGGGTATGGAGTCGGGGCAAGTCAAGATGGCCGTCGAGGTGGGGTACCGACTACCTAAACCTGACCACTGTAGCCAGTCTTTGTAAGTACACTAAACAATTAGTCACCTCCACGACCTTAATTGACTTTATCTTTGGTCATCGCTCCGTTTTTCTGTTTGAAACAGAATAATAATTTACAGAATGACTGTTTCTCCGCTACCTTGAGCATATAGTGTGACGAAATTAATGATTACGATCATTAAACCCCCAATTATAAGCATATGCAAAATCATTTCGTAGGGGACAGACGGCGTTTGCCCGATTTTCAACTTTACAGTTTGTAAAATTTGAAAACTTCTTTGAGTGAAATGTAATTTGTCCTACTTAAGGCCCGGTCACACAGCCTTTCGCGTCTGTATCGCGGGTAAAATTTCGCGATTTTTTTTTGCCCGCGGTTGCCCGTGGTGGAAAAATGTGCAAAATTGGCTTACCCGCGGTTTACCCGTGGTATGCCCGCGGAACAGACGCCGGCGACTGTTCCGCGTCCTTATCGCGGGTGAAGCGCGGCGGTACCGCGGCCTACCACGCTTACACGCGGTACACACGCTAATGCACGTGATAACAACGCGGTACAGACGCGGAACAAACGTGCTATGACCGTGCTCCACCCGCGATTACCTGCTAAAATTTCGCGTCCAATTCCGCGTGTAACCACGTCTTAACCGCGGCCGTAGCACGTCCTAGCACGTTCGTTCCGCGTCTGTACCGCGTCTTTACCGCGTGTGTACCACGTGTACCGCCCGCGATTACCCGCGGTCTAAATTTTTGGGCAGCCCAAAACTTTTTCGCGCGGCCAACCGCGTGTGAATTTCTTACCGCGTGTAACGACGGGTAAAGTACGGCTGTATCGCGTCTTTATCGCGACCTCAAAGCGTCCAACAGCGTCTGCTTCACGGGCAGAAATTTTTGGCCGTGATTCGGCCGCGATACGCCCGCCGGAGGGCTGTGTGACCGGGCCTTTAGATTGTAATATACAATTGACCGCCTCGCTGCCTGAATATGGGGTAGAGGGAGCCCATTTGAGATGGCGGGTGCCCGAATACGAGGTGACGAATGCCCGAATATTGGTCATGCCGAAGATCTCGGCGGGCAGTCCCCAGCAGGCGCGCCGGAAGCAGTTTGGGATTGGGGGGGGGGGGTAAACATTCCAGGAGCTCACTTTCCAGGGGCAGTGGCGTAATGAGCAAATGCAGGCCCCGCTGAACGTTGTTCAAAGTGGAGTATTAACGATCAGGTAGAGCGTAAATTGGCGTGGGGTCAAGGGCCTGAGCCCTGGCAGGGGGTCAAGGAGCAGAGCCCCCGGAAGCTCAGGGGTTTTAGGTATTTGATTACGGTTATATGAGCTTCCAGGGGCCCTCTTTAAGGCCATCGATGTGGTCCAGGGGGCAGAGCCCCCGGAAGCTCAGAATTTTTTTTTTTTTTAGATATTTAACTACGGTCAGATGAGCATCCAGGGGCCCGCCTTAGCGCCCTTGGTGGGGTCTAGGGGGCAGAGCCTCAGGAAGCTCAGGGGGTTTAGGTATGAAGTTACGGTCAGATGAGCATCCAGAGGCCCGCCTCAGGGCCCTTGGTGGGGTCCAGGGGGCAGAGCCCCCCTCCATTGATAAATATAGGTGGCATGCGGAATGTTTAGGAAATTTAATTCCTGTTAACTTTCCTTTTCTTTGAATGGAATATTATATGTGATTTAATTCAGGTTTTTATTACTGTTTTATTACCCCCCCACACACACACACCCCCCCCCACCCCCCCCCCCCCCCCCCCCACTTCCGTCGCCTATGGTCCCCATGCTTTAGCCTTCCCCACCCTTTCCCGTCTCGTACGCCCATATTTACCATTCACTCATTTTGCAGATACGACTTGATGCTGGAATGCTGGATAGACGACCCTAGGGGAAGACCGACATTCAGCGAAATATTGGTACGACTCGAGACTATGTTTGCGACCGCAAGTGTAAGTTTTATAAACAATTTAACCCAAATGCACCTTTTCACTTTCGAACAATTCGAGGTGCAAAGATTCCACTCATGCGCCAAGGTGAATTCAATCTTCACACACTGTTGAGCTGAGGAAATGTTTGAGATAATCGAGAAAGAATTACCATTGGAAGTTAGAAGGATCGTCTTATTGGCAAGTCAGTCGTGACAATCATGTTTTGTTGTTTTTCTTTATAGTGGGATTGGAACAGTTTCCATGATTAAAGCATGTTACTTATAATGATGGAACTTAGGTAAGGAACTTAATTCATTTCTATGTAATCCACTGGTTGTCTTTTCCTTTTACTACCCCTACTTCTCTCTTACTCTCCCTCTCTCTCTCTCTCTCTCTCTCTCTTCCCCCTCCTTCTACTCCCCTCTTTCCTCTCCTGCTCCTGCCTCCCTCTGACTCTCTTTGCCCCTGCCCCCTCTCTCTGCTCCCCCTCTCTCTTTCTCTCACCCCTCTCCTTCCCACTCACTCTGACTTTCTTTCTATGTTCCTCTCTCTCATCCTCCTCACCCAATCTCCCCTCCCCCCCCTCTCTCTCTCTCTCTCTCTTTCTCTCTCTCATCCTCCTCCTTGTCCTCCTCCTCCTACCCTCTTTCTAACCTCTATTCACCCCAACCCCCTCTCTTTCTCTGTCTATCTCTCTCAAACCAACTCTCATCCTCCAGACCGACATCGTAATGGATGATCTCGACGGTACCGATTCCGAGTACATGCCGACGTCAGATCTCAGGCGCTCCTCCGAAGTTTGATACCCGTCGTCTATATCGTATCTGTTTTTAATTTCATATCTGAAACATACATTTCAAGTAATTCGATTAGAATGTGTGTTACTCGTATGACGATATTTGTGAGGTGTATGATTATATTCATCTTCAAAATTCAAATTAATTGCAATTAACCCATAGCCAACTGGAACCGGATGGTTCCTGTATTAAACCCATTGAACCCATAGACAATGTGAAAATTCAGAAGTCATGTGTTAAATGCTACATATTTGTGTTGTTTCTATTTTTACCATTTGTATACATCTGCTATTTTGTTTGTAACTACTTTTATTGTCAGTTCTTGAATTTGAATTTTCCTTCTTTATGCAGGACCAATATGTAAAACAGCCTGCGAGCTGATCAATGCCATCCTGTTAAAAAAGATGTTTGAATAAAATAAAATAAAATAAAACAAAACGAATCATCCTTAAGAAGTCAATTGAAGAAGAAAAAATTGATACACTGTTATGATATGCAAGGAATGTTAATAGAATTATGCAATGGGCATTAAGTGAGTCTTTTTAGTTTGATTTTGATATGTTAAGTGTTTGGCTCTCTGAGAAGCGATATACATGAAAATGTATTCCTCAGAGTAAATGACATGTAAATTATATTTGTATTCTTTAAAACTTTCCAAGGACCGAACAGGTGTAAGGACCGAGACCAAGTCCTCCAGAATGGATGAAGTGATTACATTAAAAACTCTGTATCACTCCAAAGTTTTATAACCAACAAAAAGAGTAAATTGTTTAATATGCAATTCTTTTCCTAGCTCATTAATTGTAATATTGCAATGTTTTTTATGATTATTCTAGGGAAAAACCCTGACAAGCAACTTTTGCTATTGTTTTCCCCGTCTACATATTATTCTTCTTATTATTTCCCCCTTTTGTAATTTTTTTTCTTTGCGAATTTCCTCTGTATTTTTATGTTATATCATAATGTACTGTGGAAAATAAAAAAATGATATGAAACAGAATGTAAATGAAAAATGTGCCTGTATTAGAATGAAGGGGAAAAAAGATTGATTAACATTGCCCAAGCGACGACCACCATCTCTCTCTCTCTCTCTTTCTCTCTCTCCAACCTACCCACCCCTCCACATTCATTCCTCCCTCTATCCCTGTCTCTCTCTCTCTCTCTCCCACCTCCCCGTCCATGATTGTGACCAAAATTGTAGGTTATGTGAACATTGTAACAGGAATCTTCAACTGAAATACTTGAAATAATCAGGATACATTTTGATTTAGTTTTTATTTTAACATTAATTTATTTACACGAATATTTAAAGACCATAATTCAGGCGGCATAAGAAATATAAAGCATACCACATAGTGGCAGATGATCTTGCCCCTCTTCTTCTATGGACGCATCGTCCTCTTCCTACTCCAGCTCAAGCTCGCCCTGCATCTCCTCCTCCCCTATTTAGCTCCTCCTTCTCTTTCTCCTTCTCCTTCTCTTCCAGCTCATCCTGCTTCTCCTACTCCTTCTCTTCCAGCTCACTCTGCTTCTCCTTCTCCTTCTCTATGGTTCTCCTCCTCCTCCAGCTCCAGCTCACCCTGCTTCTCCTTCTCCTTCTCCTTTTCCTCCTCCTCCAGCTTGAGCTTACCCTGTTTCTCCTTCTCCTCCCCTCCTCCTCTGGGTCATCCTCCTCTAGCTCCAGCTCACCCTTATTCTCCTTCTCCTCTGGGTCCTCCTCCTCCAGCTCCAGCTCCAGCTCCCCTGTTTCTCCTTCTCCTCCTCCTCCTCTGGGTCCTCCTCCGTAAGCTCCAGCTTACCCTGCTTCTTCTCCTCCTCCTCCTTTGGGTCCTCCTCCAGCTCGAGCTCACCCTGCTTCTCCTTCTCCTTCTCCTCCTCCTCCTCCTCCAGCTCTAGCTCACCCTGCTTCTCCTTCTCCTCCTCATCTGGGTCCTCCTCCGTAAGCTCCAGCTTACCCTGCTTCTCCTCAGCTCCTCCTCCTCTGGGTCATCCTCATCCAGCTCAAGCTCACCCTACTTCTCTTTCTCCTCCTCCTGCTCCTCTGTGTTGTCATCATCCCCCAGCTCCAGCTCACCCTGCTTCTCCTTCTCCTCTGGATCCTCCTCCTCCGGCTCCAGCTCACCCTGCTTCTCCTCCTCCTCCTTCTCCTCTTCTGGGTCATCCTCATCCAGCTCAAGCTCACCCTACTTCTCCTTCTCCTCCTCCTCCTCTGTGTCATCATCCTCCAGCTCCAGCTCACCCTACTTCTCCTCCTCCTCTAGGTCCTTCTCCTCGAGCTCCAGCTGAACCTACTTCTGCTCCTCCTCCTTCTCCTCTGCGTCTTCCTCCTCCAGCTCCAGCTAACCCTACTTCTCTTTCTTCTCCTCCTCTGGATCCTCCTCCTCCAACCCCAGCTCATCCTGCTTTCTGATTCTCCTCCTCCTCCTTGGGTCCTCCTCCTCCAGCTGCAGCTAACCCTTCTTCTCATTCTCCTCCTCCTTCTCTATACTATCCTCCTCCAGCTCCAGCTCACCCTGCTTCTCCCTCTCGTCCTCCTCCTCTGGGTCATCTTCCTCCAGCTCCAGCTCACCATGCGTCCCCTTCTCCTTCTCCTCTGGGTCCTCCTCCTCCAGCTCTAGCTCCCCTGTTTCTCCTTCTCCTCCTCTTCATCCTCCCCCTCCTCCTCTGGGTCATCCCCCTCTAGCTCCAGCTCATCCTACTTCTCCTTCTCCTCTGGGTCCTCCTCCTCCAGCTCCAGCTCACCCTGCTTCTCCTTCTCCTCCTCCTCCTCTGGGTCATCCTCCTCTAGCTCCAGCTCACCCTTATTCTCCTTCTCCTCTGGGTCCTCCTCCTCCAGCTCCAGCTCCCCTGTTTCTCCTTCTCCTCCTCCTCCTCCACTGGGTCATCCTCCTCTAGCTCCAGCTCACCCTACTTCTCCTTCTCTTCTGGGTCATCCTCCTCCAGCTCCAGCTCCAGCTCACCCTAATTCTCCTTCTCCTCTGATGGGTCATCTTCCTTCAGCTCCAGCTCACCCTGTTTCTCCTTCTCCTGCTCCTCCTCCTCTTTAGGTCATCTTCCACCAGCTCTAGCTCACCCGGCGCCCCCCTTTCCTTCTGCTTTGGGTCCTCCTCTTCCAGCTCCAGCTCACCCTGCAAATTCTCCTCCTCCTCCTCTAGCTCCCCATTCCCTTCCTTCTTCAGCTTCAGCTCATCTTCCTACTCCTCCTCTTCCTCTTCCAGCTCATTTTGGTTCCCTTCCTCTTCCTCAAGCTCACTCTGTTTCTCCTTTTCCTCCTTCAGCACCATCTTCTCATCCTGTTTCTCCTCCTCCCCCTCTTCATCCTTTTCATCCTGCTTCTTCTCCTTCTCCTCCTCCTCCTTCCTTTTCTCCTCCCCATCTTCCTCTTTCCTTTCCTTCCCCTCATCCAGTTCACCGTTGTTTTCTTCCACGTCCTGCTCCAGAAGATGCCCCTCTTCTTGCTCTTCCTCGTCCTCTTTCTCCTCCTCCTCCTCGCCCGCTTTCTTCTCCTCCTTCAATTCATCCTGCTTCTCCTCTTCCTCCTCGTCCTGCTCCAAACTGCACGTGTTCCTCCTCCAAATCCTCCTCTTCCTTTTCCAACTGCTCCAATTACTGCTCCTCCTCTTCCTCGATCCTGCTTCACTTCCTCCTTCTCCTCCACTTTCCGCATGTCCGAAGGAACACCATATGACGTCATCGATGTTGCTCGTGCTCTGAGCATGCGGATAAAGTCATCTATTTGTTCTACATTAATGTCGTTCAAAAAGCCATATTTGTCGAACTCGATGACATCATCAGCCAGCTGTAGTTCGAATGCTGGAATCACTCGAATAGCTAAATGAAATAAAATGATAATGAGAAATACAAGTGGACTGGTGTAATTAGCATGCATGTTATATAGTATACGCAAGTCTGGTAAGTCTGTACATTTAAAAAAAAAGCTTAAAATCTTTTTTTTTTTCGTTCTGTATGACACAGACAATGTGTAAAATGTTAAATATGTTAAAGAGGTTTATTTTGTTAAATAAATTAAATCACAATGTTTCGTTTAAGATGTTTTGGTGCCACATTAGTCCATGAGATGTAAAGTTTAGGATTGGTTGAAATACAATAGTTCTGTTTGTTTATATTTCTGCTGGAGGATCTTTGAGTGATTGATTTTTTTTTGATTGATTTTTATTCGACAAGCTTCCAACATACAACAATATACAATAATAACAGATCAAAAAAAGTCAGCTTGAACAGGATAACCCACGAAAGCTCGAGAGCTTATTTCCAGTGGGGTCCCTTACAGACATGTATAAAATTAATAAGTTTAAATAGTAATATTTACAGACAGATAAGAAAATTAAAAGAACTACTTATTAAAGATAATAATAATAACAACATTAAACTGATGATAGAAATTATATTAAGTACAAGAAGAAAAAGAAGAAGGAGAAGAAGAAAAAGAGGAGAAGGAAGAAGAGGAAAATAATGATGAATTTGTAGAATTTCTATAACGTACGAAAACATAAGTATATACAACATGAAAAAGTATGAACCGACAGAAGAATAACAATTTCAATCATATAACATGTCATTCACTTCTCTTCTCTGACTGTCAAGTATTAGGTATTCCTTTAATTTCCTCTTAAAATGATCATAGTTTCCTATTTCTTTTACACCATTGGGAAGGGAATTCCAATGTTTTATGGCATTGTAATAAAACGAATTTCCAATACTACCTACTCTTTCAGGTAAGTTAAAGTTGAATCGTCTATTTCTTGTATTAAAATCATGTACGTCAGTAACAAGATCGAAGTTGGATCGAATATAATGATTCGACCTAGTATGATATATTTTATGCACATGATGCAATACGAGTTGTTTTGATCTTTGGTCGACTTCAAGAAAACCAGCTTTAGAAAGTTCGCTGTAGCCAACATGAGTTCTTGGACCAGAACAGTTGATAAATCTCACCATTTTGTTCTGTATAATCTTCAACTTCTTTTGATCTGACTTGTTTATGTTACTATACCATGCAGGGTTAGCATAGTCAAATAAACATTGAATAAGAGCAAAACAGAGTGTACGTCTTGCTTTTAAATCCATACAACTTTGATATCTGTACAAAAATTTCAGACGAGAATTGCTTTTTTTACAACTGATTCTACTAAAGATGAAAATGAAATTGCGCTAGCCAACTCAATGCCTAAATACTTCACAGACTTTTTTCTCTTGATTGCTTGATTATTGTGTGTCACTTTGAATTCAAATGACTTTTTAGAACTACTTTTAGAACAAAATAAAATGCTTTCTGTTTTCCCAAGTGTAAAGAAAGCTTATTATCAGTCATCCAATCGACACACGTAGACAGCTGTTCACTGAGCTTTTCCTCAATATATTTAGGATCAGGATTTGAATAGAGTAGTACGCTGTCATCTGCGTACAATAATAGTTTGAAGACTTTTATACAAATACACATATCATTTATATAACTTGAAAATAGAATTGGGCCTAAAATGCTTCCCTGAGGAACACCGCAAGTTATAGGCATTAGTTTGGAACGAATATCATGAATGGCCACTACTTGGTGCCGATTAGATAAGTAGGATCTAAACCAATCTAAACTTGCCTTATCAAAACCCATTAGTTGTAACTTCTTCAATAAGACGCAATGATTAACTGTATCAAAAGCTTTTTGCAGATCAAGGAGCACCATACCAACAAAGCGCCCTTGGGAAGTTTCTCTCCTCAAATAATCAGTCAAATGAATTAGACATGTTTCAGTCGAATAATCATGTCGAAAACCAGATTGAAATTCATAAATTATATCATTTTCTTTGAAGTATCTTTCAATTTGAACACAGACCGATTTTTCTAGAATCTTTGATGCTACGCTTAAAACACTAATAGGCCTATAGTTGCTAACATCAGTTTTATCTTTCTTTTTATAAAGTGGAGTCACTTTTGCTATTTTCATATCCTCTGGAAAAGTACTCGTCAAGATAGATAGGTTCATTAAGTAACTTAGAGGCTTGAATAAAACCTTCGCACCATCTTTTAGAAATTTAGCTGGAATCAAGTCTAACCCAGTACTTTTTGATACATTCAACTTACGTAACTCTTTGAAAACAAATTGTTCACTGATTGGTAATAACTCGAAGCTGTTTTCACGTACACCTTTTCTTTCGTAAAAGTCACGAATACAATCATTGTCTGCGCTGAAAAAGTCTTTGGAAGGGGGGAGTTTGTCTACTAATTTGGCAGCTACATTTGTGAAATGAGAATTGAATTCATCAGCGATGGCCATCTTATCATGACATAATTCCCCATCAATTTTAATGACAAATTTGAGATAAAAACATGTTGAAATATTGACCATGCCTCATTTACATCTGTACAGTCAGTTATTCGTGACCAATCAACAACAGATAGTTGAAGATTGAAAGACTCTTCTGTATATTTTTTCATGGATCTGATATCATTAGTCCTGTGATGACCTATAGCCAGTCTAATATTTTTCCGTGTACAGAAAGTAAAATAATGGTCGCTAATACCTAGATCAATGACACCACTTTGACTTATTTTATTTTCTTTGGTACAACCAATATGATCCAATAGAGAAGAACATGTAGGTGTAACGCGTGTTGCCTCTTTAATGAGTTGACTAAACCCATGAAGACTCAACAAGTCAATATATTTTTTAGCCAGTGGCGATTTGCGAAGAAGACAAATATTCATGTCTCCTAAAAGAATTATTTCGTCATCCTTCTTTAATGTATCAAGAATATTGGACAATTTCTCGATAAACAAATTGTTTTTCGGAGGTCGATACAGAGCGCCAACAACAATTGGTTTTGATCTTGGTATAAGCAAATTTATCCACAGGGATTCCGTATCTCCAGTACTTATAGCATCCATAATATTAAATGCAATATCATTTTTGATATAGAAACATACACCACCTCCAGAGCCAGAGGATCGATCATGGCGTATGATTTTATATCCGTCTATTTCAATTTCTTCATCATTTATGGAATTGTTTAACCATGTTTCAGTGAAAGCAATAATAGACAGCCTTTTTCTTTTAAAAAGAATTCTAAGTTCCGATATCTTGTTTAGAATAGACCTCACATTGAGGTGTAAAAAATGAAGACCTTTAATTTTAAACTTTTCTTCAAATTCTTGAAAAAGAGAAGTGTTTTCATCTTTGAGGTTTGGCTGAATTATTCTTGCTATCGCTTGCTTTTCAGGTGTAACGCGCGTTACCTTAAAATAGTTTTCTTTTGAGAGAAAAAAATGTCTGCCCATGTTCTTGAAACTACATTGTACTTACGTTCGTCACTCATGATGAATAATTCGAGTAATAAGTTAATAAATTCCGATTGCATGAACAAAATAACATATATGCAATGAAAAACTTTGCAAGAATAGCAATAATGATGTGCATGCACTTTCAATCACATAAAATGATTATGTTTGAAAGAAGTAACTCTGTTACTATGCGCGCAACGACGCATGCGCACCGGTACATATACATTATTACGTCATTACAGTGCGCAGTAAGTTGGCCTACACATAATCCAAATATCGTTGGCCTGTATTCTGTAATTCATCACGTAATTTCCATATTAAATTAAACTATTAAAAGTTAACCATTTCAAATTTAACGAAGGAAAAAACACGTTCGAAATAATTTTTGAAAAAAATCAACTCATGTGCAATAATAATTGTATGTCCCATGGAAATCATGTTCGGATCATAATCATCATAAATTCATAATATAATATTCACATTTTTATATGTGATTTTAGGTTGATATTTTATAGTAGTTGCGATTGTCTTTGAAAAGAAGAAGAAGAAGAAGAAGAAGAAGAAGAAGAAGAAGAAGAAGAAGAAGAAGAAGAAGAAGAAGAACATGTCATGATGTTAAACTAGTCCTGAGTAATATATATCAAAATTTATTGAGATATATCTGTTTTCAAACAGAGTTTGTTAAAAAAAAAAATACAAGATTAGCCACACATTTGAGAAAAAATATTACATTTTATTACATGTGAACAATCATAATGGATTTATGTTTAATCCACTTCATATATATACATGTATACAGATGGTTTGTATAACTCTATGTACATTACTTCAACAAAAACAATACACATTGGTATATCACCTGATGAGAGGCAGAAGGTGTGTTTTTTGTCTGAAAATTGCGATTAAATTCTCTCCTGACTCTCAACAGATGATATGCCAAAAATTCAAGGTTTGGTTGAATAGAAATGAAATTACAGTAGTGATGTATATCAATGTCTCATGTCCATTTTGTGCAAAAATGATGGAATCTGCAATTATAGAATTCATGAAAACTGCAGCTAATTAAGATTACATTTCAAAGAGTTCCTATCATGACATTTTCTCTTTAACACATAAATGAGAAAGATTGCTTATGGAAACTTATGAAAAACATGGCTATTTTCAGACTCTTGAATTCCATGTGCGAATTTCCTCCAAACATTTAATTTAGTAATGGCACAAAAATAAAGAAACGACACCCCCAAAAAACACTTCAATATTTATACATTTCATTCAAAACAATGCAAGCTACTAAAATGAAGCTATAAACATACTCAGTTTTGTATTCAATTATCTTCCAAAAACTTGACTCTTTATAATTATGCCACACAATTAATCTTACGATATTAATCATGGGATAGATTTACCAAAGGCTTCAACATTATTGAACTTTTTCTGGTGCAAGGTTAATGTACACAGGAGTTGAAAAGGTTGTCATGGAGATAGCCCAGACAGGAAATGGGTAATTTTGCAAAACCATCGCGTTCCACAAAGCAGTCTTTCGGTCAATTGGTGCGTAAAGTTTTGTGCAAAATTGCATGTGTGGCAAACAAGCGACCATGCAGAGAGGCAAAGAAAGCACCCAAGTGTTAAAAAAGACAAAATGAGGTTACAAACATAATGCAGTTTTTCATGTTTATATACCAAGGAGAATCAAAAATACAAATGAAAGTAAATACAAATAAAAGTAAGTACAAATAGTGGATATAAATCGTCCTTGTTTTCACGAAGTGACGGTAGCGAGGAAAATCGTAACGCAAAGTGAATGCAATTTTTTTTCACTACCGTCACTTCGTGAAAACAGCGACGAAATAGCAAAACAGATATGTCAACAAAAAATTGCTACATGCATAGTACAAAAAAAAACAGTAATAGAAATGAATAAGGTACATTTGACTAAAGATGCATACAGACATAGTAAGGGTATAAGAAAGATGTTAAATGTGATTGTACTCGGAAAAGATTATATAAAGCTCCTGGTATACAGTGTAAAGGAATAAAATTGAAAATGAAAGTATTTTATTACTGAGTTACACAACATGTTAAAATCTTATTAAGATTTTTCTTTAGACCAATTCGTAAATTGGCAAGTGACTTTGCAAAGAATGAACAGTAAACTATTCAAAATATATCGAGATGGGAGAATTTTCTACTTGCAATTATGAAAGAGGAACAGCAACATGTGGACAAAAGAAAGGGTGAAGAAGAAAGTGAGAAATGGCAAAAAGGAAAGGAACACTGAGAGGGGAGAACTAGCGAGGAGAGGGAAAGCCCAAAGAGAGAAAGAGAAAAAGGGTTTACTATAATAAAAAGACAGTATTTCAATAGTCAGAATGAAAATTGCATACATTAAAAATGGCCTATACCTAAAATACATACCGATACAGTGTACTTCAACCTCTTTTCCTCCATTGTACACAGGTACTGGAATAACATGTATGTGGAATACAGGAAACTCTTATGATTACGCATTTCACACATGATAGTAATAACAAAAGCCATCAAATCATTCTTCTACACATTTACTTTTCCAACCATAGCACAAGAGAGGTTGCTAGCACACTGGAAATCACACTTTTTATTCTGATCCCATTGTTCACAGCTTGATTTTGGTCTTTTTTTTTCCTTCATATTTAGCAATCTCAATAAAATTTTGGTTTAAAAGCATTCTGCAAAATGAATGGTAATACACCAGTTACATAACAAGTATATTGTGTAAAACCACTAATGTACAATAAGGGGTTCCTGGCCTAATATAATCAGACATACATTATTTATACAGTGCCACCACCTGAGGTCGAATTTTGTTCTTCAGAAAGAAGATGCTTTAATTGCCAACGATCAATCTTCTCGTGGCTGGATTTCAACAATACAAAAAATCAATGAAACCTGAAACTCAAAGTTAGAAACCGAATTCTTTGATGCACTGTAAACTGCACTTAAAACCTCTTTATTGCAATTATGAAAAAGAAAAGGGGCATTTAGCCCGACATTTCTCCAAGTATGCTGCCTTTCTACAACAAATTTGTGTTCTGAGAAACCAATCACAGCACCAAAGGTTATTGTTTACAGTTGGGAGAACTCTGTACGTCTACTCAGAGCCATTTATACACAGAGTTTGGCCAACTTGGTTTCACTGGGTCGCAATATGGCATATATTCTTTTGTTTTGTGCTTGCTCAACAAAGCAAACCGGGTTGGCCAAACTCTGTGTATAGATGGCTCTGCGTGAACTTGAATTTGCATGCCCTCTATTGTACAATTCTCTGTCACCCTCTTACGAGGAAGCGACGGAAGATTAACAGCAGTACCTTCTTTTCTGTATACCGGTACTAATGACGATCGATTAGATCTTTTACAGTGCACAATTCATAAGTCATTCACAGCCTTAAAACCTCACACACAAACACAATCATACACAAAAGTAAATACACATGACATTAAAAGATAAAGAGGTGATCACATCTCAAAAGTCTCAAATTGCAAGGTATTGCAATCTTTGATAAATCTCTGATAAAAGCACTCTGTGTATTAAAACAAATTAATACATGTATTAAATATTTTGTCAACAATAATGCCATGATAAATTGATGCTTCCCCTTAGCCTTTTGCTGGCAGCTTCTTTTGTAAATCTACCAACATGGCAGAAGTGTGCACAGCAAACAAACAATATAAATGTATTTGTTTTCTTTCCACAGCCTCACAATATCTTGCATATTATATCATTACATTTACTGTCCTCCAGACAATTACCGACTATTAATGTCAGAATTGACATGCAATATCCAGTGAGATATTGACAAAACAAACTGATGCATATCTACAAACAAACCAGAAATAAATAGGTTTGTAAAAAAAAAAAAACCTCCCTGTAATGCATTTTCAGCAGATATGACTTCTTCAACCTTCCAGAGTTCCAGTCCAGGGGAGTGTTTTAAAAAGACTAACATCGACTTTAAGTTGGACCTAACTACGGCAGGCCATTAATGCCACTGTTTCCTCTCACCATCATGATATATTTACATAATATCTTTCCTTCAATAATGAATTATCAAAAGAGGTATTACAATTTTGTCCCTTGAGAGACCAATGCCAGTAAGTGGTGAGAGCAAACAGTGGCATGAATGGCCTGCCATAGTCCAACTTAAAGTCGACCTTAAGTCTCTGTGAAACACCCCCAGGAGTGCTCCCCCTCACGCATACCTCCTTTTGCTACACCATTCCTAAGGGATTGCCTTCTGCCATCAAGGTTACCAACTTTTCTCACTTGCTGTAAAACCACAAGTTTCTCACATGCATGAAATGTTCTCACTCAAGTGGTGATGATTCACAAAATAATGGAATCACAAATGACGTGACACTGCAAATATGGTGATTCACGAAAGTATCTTGCCATGAAAGTCATAGTAGTTTGCAATTCAAATAGGTATCAGCTCGCGAAAGCCTCTTTTATTACACTACGTCAACAGCACTGTGACATTTTCTAGTGAGATTTCTCGCAAATGAGGTACCTGTTTACTTCAATGCCTGGTCTATGATGAGGTAGCAAAAGTATTCTCAAAAAGACAAATACAACCTCATTCTTCTACTAACATACTCCCCTAGCAATGTGTACCTGCTGATTGTTTTCTTAAGCAGATCACAAGGAACTGGGCCCTGTTTCACAAAACTTTCTATCAATAACAAGTTACAATAACTTAAATCATGGCATTTGATTGGTTGAGAGCAAATTTGTCATAGAAATTTATTTAAGCATTTGTTATTGATAACAAGTTTTATGAAACGGGGCCCTGGTCCACTGCTCTCTTTTTTAGCTAATGCCATGAACATATTAAACACATACTAGACAGTAATGTGAACACATATTATTTGCAGTAGTCCACTACTTTGAAGGAAATATCGTACTTCCATTTACGTCCACAAATATTGGTTGACACATTCATTATTCTGGAACACATCGTCAGCTGCCCGCAATAAAGTTGTAAGAGCTACTTATTGTGAATGGTAGTAACGACCATCTTGCAGGCAGCCAGCGATATTTATGATCATACAGTATTTTCACTTTACGATAACATAATGAATATGCTAAGAAGGAACCATAATAAACGTATCATTTCAATGCTAATACCCGTTTTTGTCATGCAGCATAAGAAATATCTACAGTGGAGGGAGCATCTCAGAAACTGAATAATTTATAGGGAATTATTGATCATATTTATTGGCCCAAATTCACAAAGAAGGTTTAAATTTATCCACGGTTTAAATCTTCTAAAATGAATCTTTAGTGCCTTGTTACAAATTATTTCTTTCACCTGTTATGAATAATTGTATTTCAATAGTCAGAATGAGATTTTCATACGTTAATTGTTGCTAGGTAGGACAAACCTTGTGGCTTGTCCTACCTAAAACAATTAATGTATGAAAATCTCATTCTGACTATTGAAATACAGGTGAATTAAATATTTTGTAACATGGAACTTAAAAAAGATTTGTGCATTAAATTTGATTACACTACGAAAATGGTCTTGTGGATGCACAATGAACAAAAAATTGTCAGTGTTTTTTTGTTGTCTTGGAAATCTTTACGCCCACATCACACTTAAGGCAGGTGTTATATCATTTCATTTTCAATGGTAACCCCTACTCTCTATTAAGACCACCTACCTGTCCATAATGGTCACCCATATTGTCTCCTTGAAGAAGGAAAGGTGTGTTAAAGAACAAGTCTAGAATGGCCACCTGTGTACAATGACCACTTTTTGTGCTTCCCTGTGGTGGCATTGATAGACAGGTTTGACTGTATTCAAGTCATACAGTCTAACCTGCTTTGGTGACTATCTGTCTAGAAAGACCACCTGTCTTCCAAGACAGCATTATTTGTTTTCCTTGAAAATGGTTTCTTGTTGAAACATGTATTAAGGAACCTGTCTACAAAGATCACCTGTCTACGAAGATCACTTTTGGTGTTTCCCTTGGGCAGTTGCTATAGACAGGTTTGACTGCACTTACTTGACTGTACTGTACTGTACAGCAATTCATTTCTTTTTTATGCGATCGGCTGCCCATAAAACGGATGGAATTCAAATCCACAACTTCTCTTTTAAAAGTCCTCATATTGCAAACATACACGATGGTAATGGAATCTATAAAGGGGTCATCTCCAACGGCCCTCGAGTGACCAATCATGACCCCAGCTTCTCCACACTCTGGACACGCCTCCTCGTCATGTATTGATGGGTGGGGCTATCACCATGGTAACCATTGGTGACTTTGCTAGGGGTAGGCGGTGCAGATGAGGACTGCTGGCTGAGACGACGTAGAGCTAAGGGTTTCGGTGACTCCTTTATCACAAAAGAAATTAATGGAAAACAATGAAAATGAAACACAAAATACCTGTTATCTCACCAAAATTGAATATACACTCTTATCGACAAGAGAGGCATTTAAGAAGTTCATCTTCATAAATCAAAGGCAGTATCAATGAAAACATGACAGTACTCAGATAAACATGGCATAACATAATTCAATGATTCATTAAGTGTCAACCACTTTATTATGTACAAAGCAACCTTAATGGTTGTGTAACAAATATATAAAATTAGTAGAATCATGTAATACAAACAAGGTTTTACTGATGCTTCGACTACAGCCCTTTGTGGTATATTTCCAGGAAGACGAGGATGACACCTGGTGCTCCACAAGTCAGTGCATTAATTAAATCTGCTTATTCTGAAAGATTTTTTTTCTTCTTTAACCTGGATTTCTATAACAATAATCTTTGAATACTATGGGGTACCGGTGCTTCTAAATAGTGTACATAGTAGGTTGTAGCATTAGAAGACCAAATCATGCAATGTAAGAAATATTGTCATTGAGATTATTCTTTTTTACACAACAAACATATCTACCGGTAGTCATCAAACTTACCACTGGCTTGTGTATTTGATAGTACCACCAGAAAGCCATTAAGCAAATGAAGACGAACGTAAGCTGATGGATAAAGAGCAGTATGGAGAAAATATTTATGAACATGGACATGAAAATGTAAAATGCAGAACAAAATTACTGTCCTTATTGTCAATTTGTAGGTTTTTTCTTTTTCTCTCCCGGGTTATGAAGATGTGTCTACAACATTATTGCACAACATTGTATTTGATCGATTCTTACAGATATATCTAAACACTCTCTCCTGTAAATGCTAAAATTCGCTTATATTCCCAGCTACAACTGCTGAGTTTTAAGTAGAATGATAAGGGTTGGAGTGTTCATACTGCCTTTTGTTCGTCTTAAGACATCTTACCAGCAAATCCTTTGGAAATATATAGTGTGTTATACTTGCGCAAAATTTAAGACATATTTAGTTTATATTTTATTTGTGTTATCTCAATATTTACCATTTGTGGGATTGAACACCCTGATTAGTATGAGTGCTATGTTTTCATAAGGGTCCACTATTAAAGTTCATGTTACCCAAAATGCTTCATGGTAATGATGCTGAGAGTTCAATTCTTTGCACAACTTGCTTTGGCCCATTATCAAGCACGTATAGTTGCCTCTTTCAGACCATATTACGTACATGGGTAGGAAACAGCAAGATATTTCTTTAATATACAGTAGGCTTGCGGGTGCACCATGTGAGAGAGAGAGAGAGGGTCGAGGAGTCCTGGAAAGGACTCTGACTCGGTAATCTTTCTTGGGGGTGTGTAGTCCTGAAAAGGACTGTTTGTTATCTTTCTTAGCTTATAGTTCTAAGGAGAACTACATATAGCGCTTGGAGAGGATGAGTGGCTCGACATTTCAACAGGTTGACTATCCGTCGTCAGGAGTGGAGAATAGCTGGCGTGCGTGACCTTATTTCTTTAATGTTTTGAACATTTGATATGGCAGTCAGATTAAAGCCTTGGTAAATATGGGGTAACTCGGTTTTTAATTACAATACAAACAGGATCTCTTTACAACAACAACACAACAAGAACAAAATGTTTAATACGATGTTTTCTTCTAATCTACAATTAATTACCTGAATAGTTAACCACATCAGGATGTTTTGAATGAGAGTTTTAGAGAACATCTCTTGCCCGTGCTTGATGCATGCCATCAACTCTATTAAACTGAATGCCCTGTAAACGCACAAGAACGAAATATACAGAAATTGTTATAATACAAGGTAGCATTTTAATTGACTAGAGAGATAAAATTGTTAAAGAATGCATATTTGATTAAGTCATGGAACACATTCTTAGAGTTATTAAAACAGTAAATTATATAAATAATGTACTATTCACCATATGTTTAAATTGTACTAATCCTCTGAAGAAGAAAAAAAAAGAGTATAGCTAGAGTACAGAATTAACTTTTAAAACTTTATCTAGCATTCTGTTCATCGACAGTGGTTTTATTGTATATTTCTTTGTACATCATATATTTTTAGGTATACCGGTAGTTAAATGTAGTCTATGGAAGCTGCACCCGTTACAAGCTTTGATTTTGTTGGCTCCCTTTTCTTTATCATTATCTTTCTTTTACATAAAATATATCTTGCACATAATTATGATATTTAACCCTATTTAGCCCGGGCTATTTTGAAACTGCATAGCCCAAGGGGGGGGGGGGGCTTCTGAGGCCCCCCCCCCCCCTATGATCTCGGCCGTGAAACGCCCGATCGCCGCGAAAATTTGCATACATGTCAAGTGAAGTGTATAGAATACTATGGTAATTTCAATTTTTTGAAAAATACACTCATTTGCATATTTATGGTAATTTATGCAAGTAAGGTCATACAATTCACATTTTTGCCCATAAATCAGACATTATTCATATTTAAGCATTCTTTCTCACTACACACATTTGTTAGACCATTTGGAATAATAATACAACGCAACAAATTGAAAAACAAGGGTTATTCCTTATGTTATCTATTGTTTTGATAATTTCTTATGTTTTTCTTTGTTTTTTTTAACTTATGTATTTTATTGTTTTTGTTGTTCTATTTCATTTCCAACTATAATTCAACTATTTTGACCCCAAAATAAACACCTTAACTATAAACAAGACCAAATAACCAATGCTTTATCTCTTTATTTGAAAAATGAGATTTCCATATGTTTTGTACACAAATCACAAAAATGAGCGATTTTCGGGCTGACATGCAAAGACAAAAGGACACGTGACTTTGTAATGGTAGGTCCGATTTTCGAAACATTTCTTTCAAAAGATGCGCAATGACTCGAAAGAAAAAAGTCACAAAATTTCAGTGCAAGATTTTCTTGTGTTAAAAAATTATCGCGAAAAATGTCGATGTATTTAGCCCCCCCCCCCCCCCCCCCCCCCCCCCCCCCCCCCCCCCCCCCCCCGGGCTAAATAGGGTTAATGATTTAGAAATAAAGCCAATTTGAATTGAATTGAATTAAACTTATGTTGGTAGAGGGTGAAGGGTATCTTAAGTCCAATGAACCCTCCTTATTGCACCCTCCTAGACGGTCTAAATGATTCTACACACTAATGCCTCAGCTCTGCAGTTATGCAGTGGCTAGAAATAGTGGATTGAATCAGGGACAAAAGGACAGAATTAAGCTTTGCTTTCAAGAAAATCAATAGGGAAGTTGAAACTGTAATATAGAATGCTTTTGATACTTACAGAAACACCCACAAGTGTGTGCCCATTCGTTTACAGTAGGGATCAGTGACGTAGGAATAATATTGCCTGCGGAGGAAATCATAGTAAGTCACATCATTAGATTGAAACTGATATCCAATACCATCATCATTAAAAGAATATACAGAATGATGCATGGAGACGAGTTCATGATGCGATCTATTGGCACTCTAGTCAAGGCTGAGTGCGTTTATCGTAGGAAGCTGGCAGGCTGTGTATGATAGATGCTATTTTTGTCAAGAAGAGGTGTGTATTGTGTAATGATGTGTATTCCTTTGTTTTGCTTGTATTCAAACATGTTTATGGGCATGATTTTGATTTCAACATTTATTTTGTATAATGTTTTTATTTTTGTAACAACAGAATGTATTATTGTAAGCCATGTTCTATCTCAACCTAATAAATATCAGCAATGTTACCTTAGGGACGTTGCGCTTCAGACACTTTTTTGTTTATGCACTGTTCCTACTGCCTGGTATGTCTATATCTCGATGTAACCCACTGAATTCATTATCTTTAAACAATTTTTTGACATGGCGATTAAATAAAACAAACAAACACAGCTTGGATCATATCACAAATGAATGTAGACATGCAACATTTGTATTATACAACAAAACTCCTAGATCCTTGTTGTCTGATCAAACATCAAGTCAAATTAAGATTGGCCCAAGTCAATATTGATGGCAAAATATCTTTGAACTTTTACCTGATGGTTCAGACAACAGATTTACAAAATCCAATTGGCATGAACTTTGACATATTACACAACTGTTTCAAGAGGTGATGTAAAACAATGAACTGTTTTTTTGTTTACGGCACAACCTTTGACCTCTTATATATTTATTTTTTTACGACACGACCTTCGACCTATTATATGTTTTTTTCTTCTTGAGTGGGTGTATCCTATTTGCCTTGACTTGACCTCTTACCTTATTGTTGGAGCAGTGGATGTGATAACAACGAATATCCTGATGATGCCAATCCAATGGTCAGCAGGAAATTTATAAATGTGCTTCAAGAAAAATGTATTCAGTTCGACCAGCTGTGGATATAAATAAAGAAGATAAATCAACCTTGTCGGTACACTACATTGTATATATGCACAAATTACAAATTATCATGGCATAAATCTAATAGAAAGCAACATAAGAATGAAGAATGCATGCTTCTCTAGCTGTCCAGAAATATCTAAGTCATTTCATGAACAAATTCTTTGATATTTATTCACAGGTATATATAGTGTACCTGATCCAATATCCAGAACAATTTCCCTGACAAACAAAGAATAAGTAATGACTTATTTTCATATATATGTTTACTTTGTATTTATTTGTTTTGTTTCTACACGCATTTGGGGGAATAGTGACTCTTACTTCTTAAGAGGAATAAGTATATTCACGTTATAATTTAGACTTTAATTTTGATCACTAACCCTTACTGTACTAGGGGGGGGGGCCTGGGAGGCCCCCCCCTCGACATTTTCGGAGATCGCGCCGCAACCGCTTGGAATTTTTAATTGTCGTTTCATGACTTATTTTCCTCAAGTCTTGCGCACATTTTGATACCATTTTCGTCAAAATCGGATATACCTGTAAGGTATTACATAACAATTAGTATGCGCATGTCATCAAAAAAGTGCTATAATTGCATATATTCACGTACAAGCAGAAATGTGAAGATATGAATTGATATCGAATTGCTTTTATATGTTTCTCAGAGTAACTTGATGTATTCCAGAACAAAAGAATACATTAGAAATAAAACAATAGATATAATAAGAAATAAAAAACAATAAAATACATAAGAAAATAAATAGTTGAAAATCGCATCAAATTTGCATAAATTATCATTATTAATTACATCAAATAACTATATTGTGTTAGAAAAGAAGTTTCATATGAATAATGAGTTTCAACATTCAAAAAGTGGAGTCTGACAATTCTTGTAATGATTCTAGTTCCCTAAATATAGTTCCAGATTTGATATTCATGAATGCGTAATTTGCGTATTCATAATTTATGCAAATTAACCTATGCATTTTCAAATATCATAAAAATAATGAAACCTCATGAATTTTAGATGAAGGAAACATTTATTCAATAAATTTTCAAGATTCTTCACAAGTCTACGGACAAATATGTAGAGTTTTCTGTAAAATGCATAAAATTAGCATTTTGCATAATTAATTAGGCTATAACGAGAAAAATTTGCATATTAGGAAAAAACTAATTATACCATCTTGTTCCTTACGTAAATATCAACAAATATGCAAATTTTCGTGTTCATCGGACATTCGACGGCCGAGATCATAGGGGGGGGGGCCCCTCCCCCCCCCCCCCCCCCTAGTCAGAGGGTGCTCAAAATAGCCCAGTACAGTAAGGGTTAATCTCTACAAGTTTGCAACTATGTCAGAAAAAAAATTTACTTATTGCCTCTATACTCTTTGAGGAAAGGACTTCTAAATCACCATCTCCAGAAATGTATTTTTTCATATCCATGTTTCTTCTTTCAAGTAAAATGATATAAAATAAATATGTCTTTTCTTACCTGTGCAACACATACAATGATGAAGACAGATAGTACTCGTTTTAAAGAAGAGTGGGGTTCAAACCAGCGAATGGGTGTCCAACTAATAAACAAAACCACAATTAATAGGATTAGAAATTCATAGGGTGTTGTTAGAAAGGGCTAAAACGATGAAGATGATCAAGAGGCAAATTGCAATATTCTCTCTCTCTCTCTCTTTCTCTCTCTTATTCTCTCTCTCTCTCTCTCTCTTTCTTTCTCTCTTTTTTCAATTCTCCCCACCCTTACCAGCATTACCAAAGACATGTAAAAAAAAAAAAATTGCATTAGTTGCATTAATACTCTCATGCCATCCAAATAACAACTAGATGGAATTTTGATGCCTCCGCCATAGAGCAATTTAAACAAGTTTGGAGTTTAAATCTCCAGTGGTTCTTGAGATATCATGATAACAATCTCAATGTATGGAATTTCATAAGTTGACCTCTGTGACCCTTGACCTTTGACCTACGTGCTCCAAAATCTAATCAGATTGTCTTCCTATGGTGATACACACTATCATTAAGTTTGAAGTTTAAATCTCCAGCGGTTCTTGAGATATTATGATATGGTGATACATACTATCATTAAGTTTGAAGTGAAAATTCTCCAGTGGTTCTTGAGATATCGCGATAACGATCTCAATGTATGGAATTTCATAAGTTGACCTCTGTGACCCTTGACCTTTGACCTACGTGCTCCAAAATCTAATCAGATTGTCTTCCTATGGTGATACACACTATCATTAAGTTTGAAGTTTAAATCTCCAGTGGTTCTTGAGATATTATGATAACAATCTCAATGTATGGAATTTCATAAGTTGACCTCTGTGACCCTTGACCTTTGACCTACGTGCTCCAAAATCTAATCAGATCGTCTTCCTATGGTGATACATACTATCCTTAAGTTTGAAGTTTTTACATCTCCAGTGGTTCTTGAGATATCATGATAACAATCTCAATGTATGGAATTTCATAAGTTGACCTCTATGACCCTTGACCTTTGACCTACGTGCTCCAAAATGTAATCAGATTGTTTTCCTATAGTGATACACACTATCACTAAGTTTGAAGTTTAAATCTCCAGTGGTTCTTGAGATATCATGATAACAATCTCAATGTATGGAATTTCATAAGTTGACCTCTGTGACCCTTGACCTTTGACATACATGCTCCAAAATCAAATCAGATCGTCTTCCTATGGTGATACATACTATCCTTAAGTTTGAAGTTTAAATCTCAAATGGTTCTTGAGATATCGCGCTAACAAACTCAATACAAGGAATTTCATAAGTTGACCTCTGTGACCTGTGACCTTTGACCTACGTACTCCAAAATCTAATCAGATCGTCTTCCTATGGTGATAAATACTATTCCTGAGTCTTAAGTTTAAATCTTAAATGGTTCTTGAGATATTGTGATAACGGTCAAACGGGACGGACGTACGGACGGACAACCCGAAAACATGATGCCTCCGGCACCACCTTCGGTGGCGGAGGCATAAAAAAAGGCATACCCAATAAACTCTTTGACACATTGAACTACTCTTCTTTTACTTCCTAGCTCAGTTTCATAAAACTACACATACAAAAAATACATTTAGGAAAATATCTAAAGAAGGTAAGACATGAACATATCATTCTGGTTTAGATACTGATGACATTCAAAGTGGCATTGCCTGATCAATTCTATTAAATTCTAAGAAAAAAACAAATCTGATATAATTTAACAAACATTTTGTTTCTTACAACCAATTTCTTACCACCAGCCAATACAACATGTCATAATTTTAACTTTATTTTGAATGAATATGTATCGCTATAATAGAGACAAAATTTCTGTGTTTATTGCATCTTTAATTTTATCACAATTTTGAAGTTACATGTATGCGCAGACAAAGGCACAATGCAGACTTGCGCACTATGCAGACCTGGGCACTCTAGCAAACTTGGGCACTATGGAGACTTGGGCACTCTAGCCATACAGCTTACCTTGCAGGTGTGAATTGAAGGACAGCTCTCTTGATCTTCCCCGAGGTGGATGGAATGTTTCTATGAGGGAAGAAGAAAAAAATCGACAAAATTCTTTCTCAATGCCAATTTTGATGATTTCCATAATGTTCCAATATACTTTTTAAAAGTAGTTACCAGTACTAAACTTACTTGTAGTATAGTAAAACGCTTTTGAGAATCTATGAAACATCAATGATCCCAGCTGGAATAAGTAATCAGGGATGCCAGTCAGAACTGATCAGAGGGCCTGAAAATCACCTAGAATGAGCTAGTTTGTACACAAAAAAGCCTAAACTATGGTCTGAAAATAACTTGCCAGGGCCTGAATTCAGGCTATTGCCTGAAAGCTGGCATCCTTGACAGTAATACATGCGAGAGATTTTTTACACAATCTTTCATGTCCATTTTCACAGTATTGTGTCTCTTTACAATGTATATTCTAACCAAATTCCTGAAATGTGTACATACCAAGGATGCTTCATTATACAAGAACAACACTTGTGGGGGCCATCAAGTACTCTAAATAATAGTTAGAATATACCTGCTTTAGCTCACTTATCTGATTACATGCAACATTGAATCATCTCTCGTGTTGCTCTCCGATGGCCCCCAGCTATGGTGGACAGTGGTCTACAGTGGTCTCAGAAACCATAGAAACCGAAACAGTTTGCACAATCAAGGGCCCGTTTCACAAAACTTGTCATTAGTGACAAATGACAGTTTCTGTTATAAGCTACTGAAATCCTTGCTTCTGATTGGTTATCAGCAGACTTGTCACTGATGTTTGTCATTTGTCATTGAAAAATGGCTTTGTGAAATGGGTCCCTGGATTTCTTACTTGATGCTTTCCCATCTGAACTCTGTCATCTCCAGTCTCCTACACAGCTTCATCCCCAACCAGATGCCAAGACCATTACAGACTAGAACGTCCAAGATGATAGCGTCCCACCAACATTCCGCAAAGTTGGGCTGGATGTGAATGAAAGAGAGCTGGTAGGAGGGGGGGGGGGAGGGAATAGAAATTTGCAAACAAGGGATAGTTATTAAGTTTATGTAAATAATGGAAATTATCTTAAAGATAAACTTGAGTTCTGGTTAAAAAAAGGAAAACAAATTCTCACAGAATCAAACAAAACTTACACTGAATATTCAAGATTACAAATAAATCTCATGTGCCAAACAATTTTGGAATAAAATGTATACTGGCTGAGTGATGAGCATAGAAAGATAAGGAAATCAAGGTAAGCTAGCCCAGACACCATTTGTGTAGTGCCATATACATCTTTCTGTGTACAGTGCTTGTTACTTTACCAAGACTGGGCCAAATTTGTTATGATTTTGATGACTCCAGAACCTTGCAGTGCACACCAATACTTACATCTACATGATCAACTTTTTTCTGATCCATTCCCCACCTTTTTTTCAGAATGCAATCGCATGACCAGAACCCACCTTTATCTTTAACATTCGTAGGTTAAGGAGGTCTAAAGCATACAAACAATGGACATGATATAATTATTTAGTTTGATAAATAGTAATTAGCTTAATCTTTAACCCCAATCATATTATTTTGGTTGAATGTGAATGGAGAGACAGAGAGAAAAAAGAAAAGTTTAATTTAATGTACAAAATATCCCATCATCACTCAGCGAAGTTTGACCGAGTGCATAGTAGGAAGCAAAATATATATATATATATATATATATATATATATCTGTCACTATTGGTAGCATTAAAACCGTAACATAGCTTATAGGTAATTGGTAGATATGACCGGGGGGTGTTTCATAAAGCTGTGCGTAAAGTTACGCATGACTTGAATGTGAAGAGCTAAATGGGATTCTCAAATCCTTTTAATAGCATAAGCTAAAGTTGAAATATGCAGGTGTAGATTTACCTTAGCATTATTAACAACAACTATTAGTGCAAAGTGTATTTTTGGCTACAATTTGATTGAGATTATGGAAAATATAGTCACACTTTGTTAAAAAGTCAGGAAACACTTTAGGCATCCCATTTGGCTCTTCATATTCAAATCATTTGTGAAGTCATTCATAACTTTACACACAGCTTTATGAAACACCCCCCAGGGCTTATGACCTCTCACCTCTGTGATCTCCCAAGTGACACTAATAATCCAGCAGAGAACATAGCTCCTCATCAGAAGAGCCTTGACGACCCAGCCTCCAAAATGACTGAAGGAATACCAGTCAAAGTGACCCCATACACGCTCAATTGAAACATCTGAACAGTTGGCTGCATATTCCTGTAGGGGTTGAGCATACATGTTCGGAGAAAGAATTAAGGGAAAGAACAGAATATGAGTTTGCAATGTGATTAAATTAAATTAAATGAGTCAAAACACGAATTCCTTAAATTACATGCATGTTTTTTATCATCGTAATTAACGTTGTATAACCCGCTTAAAAACCGCTCACTCCTTTTTCGCCCGCAGAAATATAAAAAATATTATTAAAAGCCTATTTAAATCTTTGTTACTGGCTTTTAGAAAGATAGAAATGAATAAAAACAATGAACGCCAATATCACCAGTGCTTAAGAAAAAAACAGAGAGACAGATCGTGGGAGAGAGAGGAGCGAAAGCAAATTAACATCGCTGATGTTACCATTTTCATGAACAAAGTAAGCCAACGGCAGGAAAGAAATTAATGAAGAAAATGAATGCGAATATTACCAGCGCTTGAGAAGAAAGAAAAGAGAGACAGATCGCTGGTGAGAGAGAAGCGAAAATAATGTAATATCACTGATGTTACCGGCTTTTATGACAAAAAGTAAGCCCACGACCGCATTATGACAAAAAAACATCCTTACAAAAAATACTGGTTGCCTTTAGAATTTGTGATAGTGTATCTTACAGTCAAATAAAAGTTTGGAGAAATGTATTAATAATATTGATAATACCAGGAAAATAGTGATAAAATAGTTGTTAGAATTTTCATATTATCAATAAACCAGAACGTCAATGACGTAGCGCTCATCCACACTTTCTGTGAGGGATCAAATTTGCAAATAATCATCCCAATATTTTGCACAAAACTTTAAAAATGAAATGAAGGAGAAGGAGCATTTTTTGTTATTTCTGGAATAAATTTGAATAAATTACCATAATTAATCAATGGAGCAAAATCTCAAAATTCTGTGTAGAAGTATAGTGTTCCAAATTTAGCTCTACCAGATAAGGCAAACCAAATCAAAATCGGTCAAGAAATGAGGGAGAACAAAATTTGGAATAAATTTGCATAAATTACCATAAATAATTAATGGAGAATGATTTCAAATTCTGTGTAGAAGTTTAGCGAACCAAAGTTAGCTCTACCAGATAAAGCAAACCAAATCAAAATCGGTCGAGAAATAAAGGAGAAGAAGCATTTTTTGTGATTTCGAATAAATTTGCATAAATAAGCATAGATAATAAATTTCATGATTCTTTGTAGAAGTTTTAAATCCCCCTCCTAGCCCTATCATATGAAACAATCAGAATCAAAATCGGTTGAAAAATAAAGAAGAAGCATTTTGAAAACTGTGGACGGACGGCCGCCACGCCATGGCATAAGCTCATCGGGCCCTTCAGGGTGGATGAGCTAAAAATAAAAAATAAAAGTAAGATGCAAATTTACGTCTCACCACACCAGGAAACAAAGATGTCTTATGATAAACAAAAGTTGCAATCTACAAGCAGTAATATCAATCAAAGCATGCGCCAGCCCAACAGGAATATTCATCGGTTGTAAATGAAACGAAGCCTTTTTTATGTTTATCGGCGGTAAAAATGTGTGGTAAAAAAGGCGAGGTTAATACAGCGTTAATTCCAGTGGATTAGTGGTGCATACTGTAACATCATCTGTGCAGCAGTGAACCAATTTGACTGGCCTATTTGGGTATATTCCTACAGGGACTGCTAGTATGACCATCTGTCCACAATTGCATGTGGAGTCAGGTGGCTATTGTTTTCAATTGCACAATATACTAGTATACAAAAAGAAAAAAATCAATACCCTTACTACTTCAAGATCACATCCAACCTCAGACGAATCATAAAGACAACATCGCTTTATACAGTAGAGACAATATTTTATAAGCAAAAACAATTCTCTTGTCCATTTTTCATGGTACAACAATTTCATGTATATAACCTACTGACAGAGACTCTGTATGGCACCCTTTTTAATGATAATAATAATAATAATAATACAGAGTATTTGCAACATGCCAACTCCATATGACTAATGTGTTCGAGGCGCAAAATGGTTAAACTTACAATGGTAATTTTTCAAGAGTACAGGGGGCATATTGGCAAAGGCCTTGGCTATTTTTGTAAGTGAGACACTTGTATAAACCTTCCCATCATCATCAATACTCTGCTTCCCCGATTCAATTACTGTGGGCGAATGGCAAATCAATTTCATAATGCATACCGACACTGGGAAGACCTGAACTTCACACAACCAGAAATACAATACACTATAAAGCCTATGCATGTATGCACTAGCATTAGTTCAATAGCTTTTTTTACAGATACAATGTACCAGTCTTGCAATTAAGCATATTGCTCCAAAGTGAATGTGAGCATCGTATCTTCTTGTCTACAGCTTACTTGTGATCTGTCTGTTTAGCACAATTTGATGTTTATGACATTTTGTGACCTTTTGATCAATACAGGCAGTAGGAAGGAATTGTAGATAAATTATGTAGCACACATCTATAGGTATTAGGTCATAAACCTAGATTACCATAGAGAGTTACAAGGTGAAACACTTGCCCAGAGCTGCCAACCTTGTGTGACCAAAAAAAGGAATCATGATGGCAAAAAAAAAAGGAATTTCAAGCACACAAAAGGAATTCATAAAAACAAAACTAAAAACCACACGCGACACACTTCCAATGCAGAAATGTTCATTCATCATGCTGTTTTTTCCATACAAGCAGGAATTTGTTTTGGTGGTTATTTTGGTATTATTGGCATTTCATTCTTTTTGAGAATATTTTTCTTTTCAATTATGTTGTAAATTTAGTTTTCCGTTGAATTTGTGTTCAAATTACCATTTTAGGGCAGTTGTTTGACGTGTGGTATGTAAAAAAAAAAAAATTAAAAATTAAAAATTAAAAAAACAAACATATTTTATGAAGAAAAAACGTAATACCGTAATTTGGAGGGAAAAAACAGAGTAATTCCGGCAAAATCGGAATGGTTGGCAGCTCTGCTTGCCCATTATCAAATGCCAAGGTCCAAATTAAGCCTCTGACTATTAATGTACGCCTGGGATAATTTGGGGGTGCCCCATACAATGCCACATAAAGGGATAATAAAAATGAAACATTGAAAGCATCTAATTAGGTTTAACTATTAAGTTTACCATCTAGTATACTGAAATTTTATGGGACTGAAATAGATGCTATATTGCATCAGGGGATACCCCAAAAAAGCTTGAGAGGCACAATAAATTTGCCATTTGACACACTGTACATGCAAAATAGACTTTTTTATATCTTGGCTCTTGAACAAAATTGGGTGAACTTGGAAGTATCAGAAGCAATATTTTAGAGGGGAATTTTTCTTCCACGTGTACTTGCTCAACGATGCAAATGGGGCCTTAATTCATAACACATGTTTAAACACACTGCTTGGCTCAGAATAACATCATACATAGCCTCTTGTCGATGGCCCTCACGTTGTTGGAGTCCATAAATTCTAGCGAGCGAAGCGACCCAGAGAAACACAACGCCACTAGGCTATCGTCGATCCAACAGAGCAAAAGTACTAAGAGAGGAGCAGTAACTACACCCTCTCGCATTGCCTGGCGAAAATCATCCAATGATGATGGAAACGCCATTAATCTCAACAACAACAACAACAACAATCAGGGGTAGCAGTGATTAAGTTTGCTCCCCCCCCCCCCTTCCCCCTCCCAGGCAGGGCGTATGAAGCCAAAACATTAATAATAATGATTAAAAGTAAAACCTACCTTTTCTATTGGGTCGTATTCCTCAAGATCTGGGAAGATCCATCGTAGGATTTTCATCACATCCTGATAGCTTTGGAAGAGGAAGAAGATGAGCACTAGGAGATACATGACAGTAATACCTGCAAGAAAAATTTTGGGGGGGGGTGACAGAATCATCAATGTCATACATTTTTGGAAAAGGTGCAGAATACCCCATCACACAAGTACACGTGTAGGTAACTCAAATCCTATAAACCATACCTTTAATCTTAACCCTAATAATACATGGTCACAACTTGCATGCAAATATATTTTACTGATGCAGGCTTGGGTATTTTGCAGTCCTGCAGCTAAGCTACACTTTAAGAGGCTACATGTTGATGACTTTTTGTTTCTCCGTCAAACTGGAATTAATAAATATTGTGTTGGACTTTCAAAGCAGGTATCCAAGTATAAAAAAAGAAAGTGTCACAAAAAAACTGTACAATCTTCTTGACTCCCATTAATAAATTCCTTTATTTTTGTATTATTGAACATGGATACTTGTGTAAATTCCATTAAGTACATGTACATGTAGAGGATACTTAATGAGAAGTAAAATTCTAACAACTCCATAATAACTATATTCCTCCCCTAAAAAGTGGAGAAATTAGGTAATAAGAGGTGAACTTAAATATCAGGTCATGAAATGTACTGTTGTTTTTTTTCTTCACTTTTGTATATTCCCTTCAACTTCAGTAACTTTAAGTAAATGTTTTTTAAATAATAGATTTCATTGAAACAGATGTCTTTAATAGTTCACATCTAAAATACCAACATGTTCCCACCAGATTTCCTGTATCTCTGGCCATTACCGTAAAGGGCATTACAAGATATCTTACCAAAACAAACTCTCCATATTGCAGGATGTGGCCGAGTGAAAGGACCTGCAAAAGCAAGACAATTATAGATTATATCTATCACAGATACAGGTGTAAAGGAATTTCCTCAAGCAGTGTTAAACCATTTATATTTGAAAGCACTTAGTAAATGAAAAATACGCTCAGACTCTCGTGTTGGGGAAATTGATCCCAATTCAATGGACCGATGGACTATGGGCCGATGCCTCTCTTTATGCAGGCCATGTGGTATTATTTCTGAAAGGTCATAAAAATAGCCTACATTATTATTATTAAAGGAACATATTAGAAAAATGGTCATAATCAGATACTATACGGGGTAATTTCATAATGTACTTAATCACATATTTTGCCCAGTATCAGAATAGCTGTTTAACTTTTAAGTGGACAATAATACCTGAAAATGTTGCTCTTCCGTGTTTTGCCATCTATTTATTTTGATTCGAAAAATTGTGGTCAATATTGAGCCCACTACATAAAGGCTACATTTAACATCCGGGACCTTCCAAGCAGCTGAATCGCTGCAAAGTTTGAGCAGACTATTATGCAGAGTGGTTGCAGGGTATTAACTGTATAGTACTCTTTCCTGATTCACAAAGGAACAGGTGATAATTATAATATTCGCTGGCTTATCTTTCGGGAGATACAATGATCTATATTGCCCTTACCAAAATCATATTGGTCAATCTGATTTCAGTTTAGGCAATTTTTCCTGGTATCTTCCTCAAGGCCAGTCAATATTATATAACGACTACACTTTCAAGAATCTGAACTGACATCCAATTCATGAAAATGATACTCTACATGTACATTTACATAATTTAGCTCTGCTTTTACCAGGGTCTCCTTGTCTTTCTTTTAGTTCACTTTGTTGTTATCATTGCCATAATTTGTTTTGCATTGTAAATGTGTAATGATCCAATGTTATGCTCTTCGTGAAGATTTAAAAGAAAGGTGAATAAATATCTAACTATCTATCTTTCTACACTTACATGTAAATGTACGAGTACATTTTTGTATGTATGAGTTTGTGTTGGACGGCATCATAATTAACAACTTACCATTAGGGAATGCTAGAACACTGATAATGAGGAAGTAGAATGAAGCGTGACTCAGACCTCTCCAGATATTATGCTCAATTCCGTCATAAGTGCTGTCATTAAAACAAAGACATGAAAACATTTGATGAAAACATTTGATGAGAACAAAGAGGGAAGAAGGAGAGGAGAGGGAAGCAGAAGGGGGAAAGGGATGAGGGGAAGAAGGAAATGAAGACAAAAATGAAATAGAAAAGAAAAGAAAAGAAAAGATGAAGAAGAGGAAGATGGAGAAATTAAGATTATGAAGCTGAACAAGAGAAGACAAAAAAAAGAAGATAAGAAAAGAAATGAAAAGAGGAAGAAGAAGAACTAAGGACGATGAAGAAGAAAAAGAGAAAAGGGAGAAGGAAAGAAGACAAAAAGAAGAGGAAGTGTCTACTCTTGTATGGCACTAGAATCACATTACAATGTATGACTAAGGGTCCTCAAGCTACGCAGGTCCATAAGCTACGCACCCTACAAATAAGCCCTATGCGACACGCACCAAACTTCTGAGGTGACAAAGCGACGAGAATACCATCAAGGTTTCCCAGAAAAATTACTTATGGATACTTAAAAAGGCAGGAGGTTGATATATTCAGTGAACTCCTTGTGTGCGCCTTAGTACACTTAACTAATCGCTATTATCGTATCAAAGTATCAAATTGGCAACGTGAAAACAGTTATTTTCTTGTACACCAGTAGGGGCCCTGGTCCGGAGAATGAGGATTGTTCCCAAAAACTAGGATATCCTCCTAAACGTGGACAGACCGTGTCCTAAAATTAAGGATCGTCAGTATTTTCATGGACAATCCCATTTTCAATCCGCGCGTTGGCGATGCGAAAAACAGATTCCGCTATGATCCTTGATGCATTTCGAACTTACTATGCACAGAGACTTTCACATGATGAACGATAAATCCTCTGGAAGACGGACACCCTGTAAAAGTAGACGGTGAACTGGGGGTATTTTTATTACACTGAATCTGTTTTTCGCATTGCCAGCGCGCGGCTCGGGAACCCTAGAATAGATCTACATCTACACCTACACAGAGCACCGAAGAAAAGAAACACTCCTGAAAATGTGAAAGACCCTAATTTTTTAGGACGCGATTTGTCCCCGTTTAGGAGGATATCCTTGTTTATGCTGACGATCCTCAATCTCGGACCAGCGCCCCCATACACTCACAGTGTAGGCTACACTGCACACTGCATTACTATTAGCGTTTCAGGCAGAACCGAACTCCTCCTGTGAGAGTTCAGCATTCTTAGATCTAGACTCTAGAGGGTCTACTGTACTTAATGCTGTAATTAAATTGCATGGTAGCTCAAGACATTATCGTCAGGAACATGTGGAATGTAAGAAGATTGCTATCAGTATCACTCCTAAGACTAAGAAGAGTCCTGACTCCTTTTATCAAATGTTCACAATTTTTGTTTAAAATTTTGGCTTTGTCTTTGCCTTAGGAAATTATCCCACTGACTGCATGACTTAGCCAATCAGAATCTGCAGATGTTATAATCAAAATAACATTGAATACAAATTCCCAACAAATACCAAAAGCAAAGTAGATCTACACTATGAAATATATTTTTAACAATATGTTTGCCCCTTCCCACACGTTTAATTCAGAGTAGGCCTAGATCTAGATCTAGTCTAGGCATATTACTTGGTACCACGCTACGGTCAGCAGCCACATGCTACTCGCCGAAGCTGCACTCATTCAACCTCCCTTATCCAGCCCGCTGCTGTACCTAGGGTACGGTCACGCCACACCTACCCCGTGAATGCAAAGTAAAATGTCCCGATGACAGCCACGGAGAGCAGCAACAAAGTGTGCGGTTTGTAGAAAAATGCAAGCGTGATATCCTCAACTTCTTGCTCATTTATGAGACGAAAGTGGTCACTGACTTCTGAGCTGGAACGTTTGTGTCCTCTTTTCGCCATTTTGACGAGTAATGCACGACTTTTTGAGGGATGATTCACTAAATTACCAACCGGCGCGGCTTGGATTAGCTTCAATAAATACACACGTTGGAAAAGTTCAAGACTCAAATTTATTACGCTACGCTCCGCCGGGCGGCGCGGCAGGGGCGTCGTCCGCTAGCTTACCATTGCCCACCGTGCATTATATATTTTATGCAGGCATTCAATATCTTTTTGCTAAAATGTGTATTCGTCGTTATAAATCAGCACACATGCATTACGTCATACCTCCAATTAATTTCATAAAGGGTTCACAAAGTCCCTTTCTGTCTACCTGCACTTACAAGTGAGAGAGAGAATTAAGGAAGTAGAGAAAGAGAGAAGAGAGAGAGAGAGAGAGAGAGAGAGAGAGAGAGAGAGAGAGAGAGAGAGAGAGAGAGAGAGAGAGAAACCACAACAAAGCAATTACAACAACAGCCATCCCAAAAATAATGAATAAAAAAGATAGAAACCATGAAGCAGCAAACCCCATTATAAAGAAAGTCTTTAATGATGTATTCTCCACATTTTTCTTCTCCAATTCTGTCTCTTCCTCACTCACTCCCCTTATTCTAGCTCTCTAGCTGCACCCATATGTTCCCATCTTATAAAGAGTTGCGATTGATCCAATGTCAAATACACAATTGTCATCCAATCAATTGAAAGTTTGCAGTCTCCTCTTATGTACATAGTTGTGATTAATATCAATCACGAATATAGTTGCGATTAATATCAACTCTTTATAAGACGGCCGGGTCTCTGCATGTATGATGCTTTCTGTGTATAAGCCTAAGTCAATAACAATATAATAAGGAAAAAATCCAAACAAATGTGTTCTGCTAGTATGAGTTTAGTTTAATTAGTGATGATATGGGATAATAGGCCTACTTCATTAATTCAAAATTTAAAAAAAAAAATTCTGATCCTCTGTGCAATTAGGGACTGTCGTAAGATTAGTCCAGTCGATCTCAATCATTGAGACAGAATTCTGATAGTTTTAAAGATCCTTGAAAACATGATATGGCGCATGAATTAGAAACTGAACAAAATACAACACACAAAATTCAAATGTAAAGAATATTTATCTGCCAGGGAATATGGATTACAATACATTCATTTATTATTTGATTTGTTTAGCTTATATGTCACATAGTACCTCATTCATATAAGAAAAATATTATTGATTTTCACAATTATTGCTGCAATTAACTCATGACCTGGGGAACAATAAAATTGACTATCTGTTACTTTTTCAAATCCCCACTGCAGATAACACCCTATATAAGATCCATTGGTCTGCAAATGACATTGTGTGTCTCCAAAAACAAACAATATAGCTACCGGGTATGTCTTTTTGAATATGGAGTACATGAACACATAATATATTCTCTAGCAGTCAACTCATAGCTATTGACTAAAACTTCTAAAATTCCCTTTAAACCAAGCATTTTCAACAGAGAACCTTGGAATCCACAGACCCCATTCTGTTGTGATAAATGTAAAATACACTATAAGAATGAGGTAGTGTACATGTATATGTATTTTTAATTCTTCCAAAATCACGTATGAAGACAAATATCTGAGATCTATGACACAGGTGCATTTTACTGTCACAGAGTATGCAGCATGTGGATACAGTGGTTATTACAAAGTAATATGACAGCATATCGATTGTGTGCATGATCTGCATATGAACTAGTTCATATGCAGATCATGCACACAATCTAAATCACTCGGAGACAAAATTATAATGATGTAAGTCGTATGCATGGTAGTATTCTAGCATGTAATTAATTGGACGAGTTTTACCAGTAGGCGGTAATTAATCAATGATTTGGATTAGCAAAATGTAAAAACAGAGATAAATAAAAAGCCTTTCCAAATGTAAAGTCACTAACAATGAAAAGCATCAACACAGAATAGCACATGTCTGAAAATATGTACTTTGTTGGATTTCCATTATAAATTCTTGAACTCTAGCTTAGTTTGTTTTTTTAGTCAAAAGAATTAAAAGGATTTTTTTCTTCATTTGCTTTATCTCTAAATGACTCTGTGAAATCACCATTAATCTTGAAAAGCATCGAGATAATAAAAAATAAAACAATTAAATGGCAAAATATAGACTGAGCCATCTTGGTTTATAGGTTTCTTGCTGGTAATGTACATGCACAAGATCAACAAGAGATTAGAACTTAAACCACCATTAATAATGTTTAAAACCGTAACACATTTATAACTTAGAGTCCCAGTATAACAAAATATGTTTCACTTAAACATTGATTAATTGTATTACTCAACTCAAATGTTTCAATATGGTGACCACATACATATGTATCTATAAACAACATGTTAACTTCAGTTGGTACACCATAATAATTTATTTTACCTATCAATACAAATTTTAAGAAAATAGTAGATTTACACTTCAATAATATGCTAAATGAAATCAAGGAACTCCAACCCAAGTAAAGCTCTCACAGTAAATTAGTCCAGAGTAAGATAAGTTCCTTTCTTCAGCCTTTTACAATTAAAAAACTAAAGAGTATTTTGTTAAATCTCTTAGTTTAATAATTGTATTTCACATCTACAAAGCACATTACATTACTTCAATGAGCTTATTTAGGTAGATTGCTCAAAGTTTGGAGACATCCACTGAATTTATTGATGATATGGACTCTACATGTACTATCTTTTGAAAAGTTAAGAGGCAACACAAATATTTATTGAATTCTACTCTTATTCAATGAACTACAAATCTTCACACACAATGTACAGGACCTTTATGGTAACTTTGCCATTAATGGTAACTACCATGGAAAACTTGATTTTGATCGGCTGTTGAGCCCTGTTACCATGGTAGTTGCTATTGATGGCAAAGTTACCATCAATAGTAAGTTTTATGCAACGGGCCAAGAAAGAAGTGTATCAAATATAAACATTCTCTTTCTTTGAATACTGCGAAATACATTAAGTCAATATCTAGCAAATATTGCACAAGTTAACTAAATCTAAGCATTGTTAAAGTTAAATATCATTAAAAACACTAATATGAGGGTAAATAAATATTCCCCATTGTAGCAAGATAGGTTAAAGTATATTTAGTGAAAATTCTGCATTTTCATGGGCATAGTTATTTCCATTTTTCAATAAACAGTGGTACAGTAGTGATCTAATTTTTAAGGATGTGTATAATCATCACCCGATTAAAATGTTGTTAGGAAACTGTGTCATTCAAATGAGTTTTTGAGCTGCCTACTCAGTAGGTCAATTGAAAAGCTCCAGATTAATCTGTACAACCCCTTTGTGGTCTAATCTCAAAACTTCCAGGGGGCTGCATTGTCTCCCTTACCAACAGGAAACCCACAATGAATGGTTGTCAGACAGCATCCCTTTTAATCCTCATATTGTGATTGTTATTGTTGTTTTCATTTTCTCTTTCTACACAATAAAGCTAACCCACTTTACATATAAAGCCCACTGATGAAGATACACTAATGGTGACCTTTTGGCAACCTCTATTATGATGGGGGTTTAGAAAAATATCCACCTGTGACAAAATTATGTATGAGATTTAAGAAAAGAAATACTCATAATGTTGATATAAAAAAGAGAGCAGTATACAGCCTCACTGGTAATAAATTACTCTCTTACACTACACATGAGCTGTGTGAACTATCTTCTGATTGTGACACTTAAAGCCCCACTGTACTACTTGTAGCTACTTGCTCCCTCTATATAGAAAACTACCCAATCGGTGCCTGTTGGTCCCCCATGATCCTCTTTTTCTTATGTTAATTGAGAGCTGAGTTGATGAGATAGCCATCTGTCAGTGACCTCGCTGGGTGGTCTAATCCCGTCTGGCCAAATGAGTACAGACGGCCTTTAAATACCACTAAAACGATATTTAAACATGGTGGCAGCGGTGGGATATGAGGTTCAAAGTGTACACCATGGAACAGGGAGTATTTAGTACTTGGCTTTGCAATGGAATACATAACTATTCCAGAGTTGATACTCTCTCCAGGGGTGGATGAGTTAGTAGACAGTTTAGTCATTCACTACATTCTGTTACATTCTACATTTATCTGCTACAGCACATTGAAAAAAATAATTTTAAAAAGTTGAAAACGGGACTGCACTTCTTGTAGCTACTCGCGCCCTCTATATAGCAAGCAATGTCTAATCAATACCAGTTGGTCCCCCATGGTCCCCTTTTTCTTATCTTAATTGAGAGCTGATTTGGTGAGATAACCACCTGTCAGTAACCCTGTAGGGAGGTCTAATCCCCCTGGCCAAACTAGAGCAGATAGGCTTTAAATGGTATCAAATCTGTGAAGACAGAGCAATACAAACAAACTGCATGGCTAGGGGGGGGGGGGGGGGGGACGTCTTCACAATTTGGCTGGCCACACCTAGTAGAACTTTAATACACTGGTAGTTTGAATGTACATGAGCAATCAGGCAAAATCCTGGGAAGCTTTGAAAAGAAAATGTCTAGACAGGACAATATCAGATTGATTGAGGTGACAACAATTCCAAGCAGCTTCATCAATTGATGGCCGATTCATAGGACGCCTTGTAAACAGTTTGTCCTTTATACTACAAACTCAAAGGTAAATGCTGAACCTGATTACAACCAAAAAGTGTTGCAGTGGTGTGAATACATCAAATACCCTCATGTTATTGATCAGACTCATCCCCAAACTCTAGGACTAATAAATATTTCTGATTGTGCTGGTTAATAGTAACCACAATGATACATGTACACCGAGTCATTTCTAAACCATTGTTTATGAATGGAGGGTTTACATAACAGTCTTTGGTGATTGCACAACATATTTCTTCTGAGATAGGTGGTTCCATCATAGTTTGCTCATTGCATTTCCCACTTTGGAAGTGTTCTGCCTCCCTAGCTCTCTGGAAATGAACTGTCCAACTGAAACAATCTTCTCCAGGTCAATACCCTGTAATTCAAGAAAAAAGAGGAAATACAAAGGGTGTTGTGAGAATGTTGACTGATTTGGGGTTAAAAGATGTTGATTGGAAGACAATGGTAGAATATCAAAGGTAGTGTCTGAAATTCAAAAGGCTAGGATGCAAAACCAGCTCACAGTGGTACTGTTACAGATTCTAAGGAAGAAATGCATTTGTGCAGAAGATAAAACTGCAACATAATAGCATTGCACAAACAGTTTACTGCACACAGTTGCTACATCTGTTTGTTTGTTGTTGTTGTTGTTGTTGTTGTGTTTTGTTGTTGTTGTTATTGTTGTTTTGTTTGTGTTTTTTTTTTGGGGGGGGGGGAGGTCCGAGTAGTGGGGATCAATAAAAGTTTAAATTCAAATAGTTATTGAAATGACATCCTGAAATGATAGGATTTTCATCAAAGACCATAATATAAGCATGCTACAAATACTCAAGGAAGTGATCAGGTTCCATCATTTCATGCCATTGCCCCTTTGACTGTAAATCGTTGAATTTCACATACCGGTACATGTATTTTCAAAAGTACAAACAGACGAAGAGATCCTCTTTACTCTCTACCAAAACCTAAATGATGTATCCATGACAAATTCACTTTCTATGGTGCCTGCCTTCTTCCCTAGCATAGGGACACCTGTGGACAAACTACACATGACACCCATCCAACTCTTTCTTTTAAAGGGCAATCCTAACTTTGTAATAAGTTCATTTGTATGAAAGACAAGAGAAACAGAATGGCGAAAGATTGGAATAAATCGGACCAATGATAAGAGAGTTATGAACGTTTGAAATATGAAACTTCAAAATCTATGCAAATATCAAATTGGCAATTTGTTCAGTGGATTGTGAGGAAAAAAAAGTTATTTTGTGTATTGAAGCAAATGGGAAAGTTCTCTGACCACTATGTCACAGTGAGATTACTGATTCAGCCACACTGAAGTGCCAATACATATAGTGATTCCAACTTTCAAAAATTCATAACAAATTTTATATTTTGGCCGATTTCAACCAAACTTTCACCAGTCTTATTCTCTGATTTTTCTGCTTTCATTTAGAGTAGTTGCCTATTAAAGAGAAGGTTGGGTTCTGGGAATAGGTGAACAATAGTTTGTGAGCGTTATCATTGTATTATGCAAGTGTGGAAGAACATCAGATAGAAAATGTTCCCTGAAAAGCATGGCTCTTCAAATGCCTTAATATTCTCAACATGGCATGTAACATCATACAAATCGAGACAGATTTTTATGCCACATATTTGTGTAGTCCCATATACATCTTTTTGTGTACAGTGCTTGTAACTTTACCAAGACTGGGCCACATTTTTTATCATTCGGATGATTCCAGAACCTTGCAGTACACACCAATACTTATATGCCACATGATCAACCTTTTCTGATCGATTCCACAACGTTTCTTTCACAATGCAATCGCATGACCAGAATTCAACTTTATCTTTAAGGTTGGATTTTCCTTTAAACATCACAACTTACTGTTTCTATACCAAGTCCATTGAGCATGTAAACTACATCTTCAGTTGCAACGTTGCCCGATGCCCCCTTAGCGTAGGGGCAACCCCCTAGACCAGCCACAGATGAGTCCACTACTGTTACCCCCATCTGAAAATACAAATAAGATATAAGATGAAGCTTTCTTTGCTCCTGACAATCATTCAACATTTTAAGATATGCAGGCCTATGAAATGAAACGGTATGAAGAGCTATACATCTTCGACTTTCATAGGTATACTAAATGAACATAAAACAAATATCCCTAAAAACAACTCTTACCATGGCACAAATTGAATTTACTGTTTATTTGGGTTGATATAAGTTGATTCAGTCTAGAAGACCCAACAAAATAACACAATATGTTGAGTAATAATAAGCTCAAATATGGAAAACATTCATATTGAATTTGGTTTGACACACATTGGTTTGCTGATACATAATTTCTTTAATCAAGCATATTGAAATTTAACTGCACATAACATATGTAAGACAGAACATTCCCTAAATGCAATGTGCTAAAAATATGGAACTTCCCTTAACAAAAAATACATTAGATTTGGATAAAATCATTAAAAGGTACTAGAACAGAACTTTATGTGACTGGATCTTTGTTTTATTACCTGTAATGCTGCCAGGATATTTGCTAATGCTTGCCCATAGGTGTCGTGGCAGTGGACGGCTATATGTTTGGCAGGAATGGTTTCTAGTACTGTCTCTAACAACACTTGCATCTGACCGGGGGTGCCCACCCCTATCGTATCACCCAGAGAGATCTCATAGCACCCCATGTCGAACATCTTATTGGCAACCTGTCAAAGAGGAAAATGAGACTGATTTGTGCAAAGTACTACATAGCAGTTTTATTGATACAGCAGTTGGCAAGCAAAATATAGAACTTCTTGAGTCATAAATGTAGAATATATATTCAGAAAGCCAGAAGGGCTTTATTAATACTCTAGGATCAGTATCCATAAAAGCATAGTAAGTTTAGTCAAGGCTTCATTGGGAGGATTTAGTCTGGACTGATTTATGGAGCACCATGTGTCACTCCCCTCTTTCCATAAATATCCTTATAACTCTCTAACTTTTTTAAAAATCATTTCACTTTAAAATCAATATCTCATTTGTTCAATCTCATGAAAACATTCATTTTGTGTGTTCATTCTGATATATTTGGCATTGCAAAATGTGTACAGAATAGAGAGCTTGACATTTGGCACTCCATAAGTCAATAGACTGGGTTAAAGATAAAGGTGAGTTCTGGTTAAAAAAATAGAAAAATGAATTCTCACAGAATCAAACGAAAATTAAACTGAATGTTCAAGATTACAAATAAATGTAATTTGCCAAACAATTTTGATAGAAAATGTATACTGGCTGAGTAATGAGCACAGAAAGATTAGGAAATCAAGGTTAGTAGCCCCGACACCATTTGTGTAGTCCCATATACATCTTTCTGTGTACAGTGCTTGTTACTTTACCAAGACTGGGTCAAATTTATTATGATTTTGATGACTCAAGAACTTTGCAGTACACACCAATACTTACATGCTATATGATCAACTTTTTTATGATCCATTCCACACCTTTTCTTTCACAATGCAATCGGATGACCAGAACTCACCTTTAATATCTTTAAACCACGTTTAAAGTACTCTGCCTTTATGAAAATAAGCCTAGGTCTCAAGAGATATTGATTGCATTTCTCAATTTGTCCTATGTGTTCTATTCTGTTCTGAAAACACTTATTCCATCTGGTCACACTAAAATCTTTCTACCCACCTTTGCCACAGCTTCCGGTTGAACAGCGCCCTCATAAGGGCATCCTAGTACACATGACACGTATCCTCGGACCTTGACGTTTGCTTCACGGGCCGCCTCAAGCACGGAGGAGAATCTTTCCACACTCTCGTCAATAGAACAATTGATATTTTTCCTGCAAATCAATCACACATAAAAGAGAGACTAGTAGTACTTGTAGGGTTTGAAAGTAAATTTGCTATCAACTAAAATCATTTTGGGATCCTGAAATCACAGAATATATGGAAAATCCACCATGCCATATAGGTCGATAATATTGTAAAGTTATGGACAATTCTTTAAAAATTCATTATGAAATCAAGAAAAAACAATGTGGAGGAAAGATCATATGAGCTTGGATACAGCACTGTAGGTTAATTAATGTGAGTGGGTACCATCATATTTCTGGACTGACAGATAGGTACCATGAACTTTCTCAGTGCTTTTATACATCAGCTTTAATTCACTTCATGCTGCAGTTTAAATGTTTTTAATACTCTCTCTATTAAACAGACTGACTAGGCTTACTCTGAATCAACGGGTCATCTTATCAAATCATCTTATCCGTTTGGGTAGTCATGTGAAGATGCACGTTAAGGACGCGACCTTTCGTATATTTTCCATAAGGCTTTCACAAAGTGTCTGATAAATTGGACATCACTATTTGTAGATGAGAGGGATTTATTTCTCAAATAATTACCACTGACACTTTGTGAATAGTAACATCAGGGATATCTCCAATTCCGTTCAAAAAAATAAAATAAAACATTTTAAGGCCGCAAACCAGGTCCGTGAAAAACCCATGCGGGAAGGCCTTTCATTTAACTGCAAGGTGCAGTTGGAGGCACCGATTTGTGCTTGTGAACTTGTCACAAATAGTAACAATGTCATTTTTAGAAGAATGTGTAAGATCATTAATGTAAATTAAAAACAGTAGAGGACCTAAGATAAAAACTTGTGGTACGCCATGTGTAATAGAAGAAAAATTGGAGGAGTTATTATTATAAACTACATATTGAGATCTATTACAAAGATTACTTTCAAACCAAGAAGACAGAAAAATTGGAGTGTTATTCTAGTTTCCGAGTGGTGAGTTAACACACCAATTACTGAGCTGAGAGACATTGCCAGGCATAGTGCCAGGTGGAGGGGCATAAATCTAAACTTAAAAAAAAAAAAACGGGAAAACAAAACCGTCCAATCGAAAAACGGAGAGTGCCATGGGCGGTCGGATACCGGACGGTTAAACGTTTCACTACAACACTAGTGAATATAACAAGCATGGTTTTAAAAAAGGTCAGGTAACGCGACCAACCAACGTGATGACCCAATGATTCGAAGTAAGCCCACTGAATGTGAACTTATCCAACTAGTTCATGTGCGTGATTATCATTTCCTTTTGGTACGCAGTAAAGCTGCACTTTAGGCAGTGACTATTCATCACGTGTACCAAAAGCAAAAAAATATATAAATGTACCGGTAGGTAATACTTTTAATGATCCAGAACTCTGTATGGTTATTCAATTTACTAGTCCAACAACATTGGTTCCAGGCTTTATTTATAAAGTTCATAGGGTTAGAGTTTGGGTTGAAATTGAATTTTAGGTTTCAGGTGTGGAGTCGTGGCTATGGTTGGGTATATTTTAAAGTCCAGGGATTATTATTAAGCAGTACAATAAATTCAACATGAAACAATTGTTGCTCGGGATACAGATTAGTAATTAAGGTACATGGAGTTCTTGTGTACAATTTGTAATTGCTGGGGGGGGGGGGGGGGTGGCTGAGAAAAATTTGTAGGGCCGTGGGCACCAGACCACTTTCAATGTTAGAATAAATACATGTACTTTGCACTTACAGCAGCTCTCTTTGGATTTGCTTCAGTTAGAGTGAGATTTTATTACAGCTATTTCATGAATTTCATTGTTCTTCTCCTTTCTTGAGCATTCAAGAGCTACCTGTACATTAAGTCATTCAATGCTGATATGTATTTTATTTTCACTGGTGTGCATGACAAACAGAGTAGCTCCTAGCTCTTACTTGCTAAAGGTTTCTGATGCAGCACCAAAGATGGCGACCTCCTCTGCCCCGGCTTCGAGCGCCGACTTGAAACCCTGGAGGTTAGGGGTCAGTACGGGATAGCTGACCCCTCCCCTCCTGGTGATACCATTCATAACATCTGTATGGTCTCCCATCTGTGAAAATAGCAATAGACATTGTACAATATGGTTTTAACTTGTCAATGAAAATGGATCTTACATAGGGCTTGAAGTTCATGTTGCATTTTTTATAGTACATTTTTAACTTTGCATAAAACAAATCGGTCGGGACTGCAAAAACTTGACTTAGAAAGTGTAAAAAACATGTGTTTTGCATAGTTTGGTCCAACAAATGTATTTGACTTAAGGGAAAGTTGACTTGTGCGACTTCAAGTTATGCAGTGTTAACCGTATTTCCACTCATTCTCTACATGAGATAAAGGTCATCTGAAGGGTGGGGAATGGAACTGCACTTTGAGAGTGCCTTAAAGACACATTCTCGTTATATAAGTAGTTTGTAGTGATATTTGTGCACGCTGGACTTGGTTAAATTGCCAGGGTGTTGGTGAATTGCCGTTTTTTTCTCCTAAGCAGCAGTAGCAAAACCTGTGTTACACCTGCAACTTGCTGTAAGAACTAGATGAAGTGTTGTATCGTCTTTCGGATTCAGAATTCATGATTATGACTTATCCCCTTTAGGCATTTCTGTCAAAGTGGTTGGAGGGTGCCTGCATTAATAACATAAAGCATGTCGATAATTCCAGTTATCAGGTAAATAACTGAATGTTGTGAAATTCCCAATGAGAAACCATGACTACACCTGTACATGTCTACACATATATGTTCAATGGTGTCACTCTGAGTAATCACGAGCTTAGTTTTTTTTAAATTTAGTTAGAGTCGCTCTTTATTATTTTAACATGCATTAAACTTGGAATTAGGTGCCCATACTACATAGAATGAATCTGACTGATACTCACTTGGGGAATCCATTTCGGTGACACAAAGCTGGTAGCTTCAATCACCTTCAGACCAGTGTCAGACAGACGATTTATCAAATCGATCTTTGTTTCTGTTGGAACCATTGCCTGTATAAACACAACATATTATTTCATGTTAGGTGATGTCAAATTCTAAATTATAAATATTTTGTTCATTGTGAGATTGATTCTAATAGTCTTCCTCTAATACATACTGAGTGAGAACAATCACAAATATTAGGGTTTTCAGCTGGTAAAGAATGTTTTAAATGGCAGCACAGTAGTGTTGATAAAAATGGAAAGCTATAAAACAGCATATTTAGCCCGATGTCGTATCTTCTCTTAAATTTACTTTGTTGGGGATAGTAATCACTAGAATCTCTTTAAGATCTTGGGGGGGGGGGGGAACCCAGCAAACAACCTGGAAAAATAATGACTTGAAGTAAGAAAACAAAGTCAAAGGAGAAAAAGAAAAGGAAGAAAAGAATTTATTGAAAGTCTAGTAAGTAGTAGACCTCTCATTTTTTGTTTGCTTGTTTTACTCTTATCAAATTTACCGTAGGCTATTGATCTTTGATTTGAAATCTTTAAAACTAAAATTAATGATAAGTCATGTTACTCATGTCTATATATCTAAGATATCAATTACAATTGGGCACACTTGTTAACTACCGCCATAAAAAGACGGACACTAACTAGCACTGCACCGATATTGCAGTATTGGATGCGAATTGCGGATATGTGCTAGAAAGAGCTGCATTTTACAGCACAGATATAAGTATGTGGGGCAATATGATATTGATAATATTCGACAGACAGTTCGATGCTTACCTTTTCATTCTGCAACCCATCCCGCGGTCCAACTTCAACAATTTTAACAGATCTTGGTATCTGTCCATCTCTTCCAGCAAGAGATGCAACTCCTCTCCTTCCAACCATTTGGGAAACAACTTGAGTACAAGCCCAAAATCGACTCAGACCAGCCGCCATTTCTGAAACGCTGCCAATACTAGATCGAACTTCTGGGCGGCGGGTTAAATGATGGGGCGTTGGTTTGAGGGGTGTGGTCATCGAGCTCTGTTAATCGATGGGCGGGGTCTATTTGAGAAGAAGTCGCCAATGACACACCCCGGAAATATTATATCATCGAGTGAAAAATGAGGAGCAGGCAATTGGCAACAATATGAAAATTCATGTTTTTCCCAAAAGTAACACTTATAGTTATAAAAACCCATGAAAGACGCTGATATACGAGATATTGAAGTTCCCATTTCAGGATGGAAGGGAAAAAGAGAAGGTGATAGGGAGATGAAATATAGGAGAATGTCGATCAGGTAAAGGTTTTTATTTCGAGGGAAAATAAAGACCCCCCCCCCTTCCCCAGATACGCCTCTGTTACTTTATGATTGAAGTTAAGCATTATTAATTCAATGAGGAAATTGATGCCATTCCCAGCCTCTGCCCGACATTCAAAATACCAGCAGAAAAAGTTGCTTGCCTCCACTTTATCTTTGCAGCTTTAGCACCTTCCTCGTATTCTCTTCTGCATCTCGGAAAAAACATAGTATACAGTTATTGACTGGCAGGGGGTGTAATATAACATTATTTGGACCGCTGAAGGGAGTTATATTTCCCAAGTGGTTATATTTTCCCGAAGCGCGCAGCGCTGAGGGAAAATATAGTCACGAGAGGAAATATAACTCCCTTCAGGTCCAAAGAATGTTGTATACCCCCTGCCAGTCAATAACTGTTATATTAGATAGCCCTTTTTTGTGTGTGGGGGGGGGGGGGGTCCAATAAAAATTTTCCCCAATTTTTTTTTTCCCCTTTTTTTTTCGGAAATTACGGAAAAATAATCTGTCGAGATAGTTCAAGAAAGAAAAAGAACCTTACAAAAAAAAAAAAAATTATACAAAAATTTGGGGGAAAAAAAAAGAAAAAAAAAATCGAAAAAAAAAAATTCTTACCCAAAAAAGCATTTTTCGGGAAAAAAAAAATTACCCAAAAAAGCATTTTTGGGGAAAAAAAGAAAATGTGGAAAAAATAATTTCAAGGGAAAAAAAATTCATGAAAAAAAAATATTGAAAAAATTAAATGACCCTCGGTAATGGTGTAACGTGTGTAATTGGTGACATACAGTCCTCAAGAGGGCGACATACACTGATTAAAAATATATTCATTTCACCGGCCGGTTAATATAACACCGAAAAGTGACCGGCCAGGAAAATATAACAATTTGGATCCTCGCAATTGATATCACGTGACGAGCTCTGGACCAATCACATCTCGGTATCTGTCTAAGCTATCTAATATTATACAAATAATGAATGGTTATGAGTTCAATGGTGCGAATATTTTCATGAGTTGAAAGATTAACATTCTTTTCAACGAGGCGTCAGCCGAGTTGAATAGAATTAATGTTAATCTTTCAACGAATGAAAATATTCGCACCATTGAACGAATGAAAAACATTCATTATTTGTTTTATACAACATATCGAAGAAGATCTAATAGAACGTTAATCAACAAATTATGCTTTACTCCTTATATTAAAGATAAATTCAAGTTGGATTCAAGCCTTCTCGATTACATTCAGATTGCCTTCGCGTCAGATACACGCAGGGATACGCGCGCGCACGGCAGAGAGGTACGCAGTCTGCATATAACCAAAAATGCACGGCGCATATAACCAAAAATGCACGACCGTGCAATATACCATCTATTTAATATCATGTGACCAACAATCCTCCAATCGAATGACAGGGATCCACGTAGGTGTTGTATAAAAACTTTTATCAATACTAAAAGAACCCTAATGCATCAGTAGGGCCATTTACAGTGCTTGAGTCAGACTCACTCTTGACAGAGCGGGGGAGGCGACGCCGAGGGGCTGAAATGTTTCCTATAGGACTGACTAAAAGTGAAAGCTAGAGAGAAATAATAGATTTATCACGAATAGATACGAGGTAACTGTCTCGTTGTGCCTCTCATTGACTATAGTCTATAGTGATCAAAATTTGTTATGATACTCCTATAATGAATTAGGCGATTTCATGCGGATCAAATCTCAAAACTGTCTAATAAAATGTTGAGGACCTCCTGCCCTTTGGCTATATAGGAAAAGTCTCCCATATTCTATTCTATTCCATACTCCCTTCATCAAATTGTGTCAATTAATATTAATATTTCATTTTTTTATTTTCCAAGCAAGGAGAAATTTATGAGGACAACAAAGCCCCCCCCCCCCCCCCCTCCCAATCCTATTCCAACATGAACACACCCATGCAAACTTATAACAGAAATTCAGGGATCGGGGTTTATGCTGGCTGTCACGCGAAGGAGTATTGCTATTTCTATCAATTTTAATTCAAATCAAATTTTTAATGATTGAATTCCAAACAAATAGGATCATGGTCATTCTTTGTTTATAACATTAAACAATAAATTTCAAAATATGGTGTATAACCAGTTTTTTTTTTTTTTTTGTAGTATTGTTTTATTGTATTCATTCAGTTCAAAATATATAACAAACAAATATACAGCTTCATTGATTTACATATATCCAAATATAATGAAAATTGTACATTTCTCAAAAAATACATAAGATAGTTTAATACACAGTACATAATGTTTACATTTAATTACACTGAACGAATATTATAAATCAAAGAGTTACCGACAGACAGACAGACACACCACACACGCTCACATACTCAGACACACATACAAACTGACATATCCCCCTTCCCCCCTTCATTCCAAAGCTTAACAAATCCCCCCTCCCTGCCCGAGCATTCACATCTACACATTTGTTGGAAATCCTGTCTCTTCCTTTTCCTTAAGACCAAACTATATATTAAAAAAAAAAAAAAAAAATGTCTGAGTCTGAAAAAGAAGTATTTGCCTCGCCGTCCTTAACTGTGGAAGTTGTCCCATTTTCTGAAGTGAAGTGTTAAAGTGCCTCTCTCCCCCGCTAATTCCTTTTCTTCTTGCCTATTTTCTATTATTCTTTTTTAATTTCTTGAGGAATTGGGGGTCTATTTTGAGTTGAACTATATTTAAAAATCATATGTTTTGTTAAAAGAATAATGTGATTTAACAGTTGTTCTTCTCCCACATTGGATCTTTTTATCCCGATATGAATTTCTTGCCAATGTAGATTTTTTAATGCTGATAAAGAAAAAAGGTCACCGCAGTCCTTCCAAATATTTGCTACCATTTTACAGGTAAAAAACAGATGCTCATAGGTTTCTTCGTGTTTATTGCAAAAGGAGCAAAGATTGCTCACTACATGTTTGAAAGTGTATAGATGCTTATTTGTATAAATTAAATTATATAACATTTTATATTGAAATTCCCTCAGCTTTCTGTCTATAGTGGATTTTCGGGGTCTTAAGAAAATTGTTCTCGTGTCATTTTCGACCATATTGTACGTACGTTCTAAGTTGCAGGTAGCATAAGATTTTTCCGTTCTCATTTTTAACAATGTACTATAGATATATTTTGATGTTATGCCTTGCAAAGAGTGAGGGTTTCCGTTAATAATGAATTCTAAACTTAATTCAGTATCCTCACAAGGATGTTCATATATATTCAAAAGAGTTTTCCATGAGAATGGAATGCCTTCATATAACTGTTTTATTATATTTATTTCAATGTTGTTTAAAACCCATTTTCTTAAATTCTGTGATAGATTTCAATTTACCTTTCTTATCAACAATATGATGTATTTTAAAAACATTTTTCAGAAATAAGTCTTCATGGAAACATATTTGCCCCTGAATGCGGATACATCTATTATTGTAAATAATTTGATTTCTTTTTGAAATTTCGTTCTTAAGCAAAAAGGCTTTTGTCCCCAGCCAAGCCTCCAGCATGCAACGGTAAAAATCTGGTAATGACAGTGCAAGTAAATCTGGCGATACATTACTGAAAAAAATCAAGAGGCCGCCATATTTTCTAGTCAGGTATTTAAAATAACGTTTCCAAATCATATTTGAATCTCCTCTTATAAGTCTTTTCATCCACATGATTCTTTGTGTTCGAATAAATAATTGAAAATCTGTCAATTTAAGACCTCCCTTATCGTAATCTAAAAACATAGTACTCCTTTTGATTTTATCTTTTCCATTCCATAAAAAATCAAATATTAACACTTCAATTTCACGGAATGCCCACGGCGGTACAGGTGTGAGTGATGATACATACTAATTTTGATAAAACAAAAGTCTTAATTAGTTGAATTTTCCCCATCAAAGTCAAATCTCTTTGTTTCCACCACATAAGCAGCTTTTTAATTTTACTTAAGATTTCTTTGTAATTGATTTTTTCCTGGCTTTCCACGTCTAACGTAAACTGTATACCTAATATCTTTACAATGTTTACTATCTTACCAAATGGAACTATTACATCTTTATCCGCGTTAGGACCCAACAATAATACAAAGGTTTTGTCTCTATTCATCTTCAATCCAGACATATCTGCAAAACTAGTAAACAATGAGTTTAGTCTATTAAAAGATTCAATATCTTGAACAAACACCGACATGTCATCTGCATAAATAATTTGTTTAACGTGAATATCATCAAAGGGAATCCCATGAATAGCCGAGTCGCTGCGGATTGCGCGAGCAAGAATCTCAATGCAAAGTAAAAATAAATATGCAGACAAAGGATCACCTTGTCTTACACCTTTCTGAATAGAAAAATATCCAGTTGATACGTGTCCATTGAAAACACAACTTTGAGCCTTATTATAAATTATTTTCACCCATTTACAAAATATCGGTCCAAAACCAAAGGCTACTAAGACCTTTTGTAAAAACATGTGTGAAACCGAGTCAAACGCTTTTTCAAAATCTATCGCTAACAAATAAGCAGGTATTTTATTTTGAGTTGTATGAAAGATCATGTCGTCAATATTATTAACCGAATAGCTTCACCTATATTTCTTCCCTTTAGATATCCCACCTGATCAATCCAAATAACTTCTGGTAATACTTTTTTAATTCTTGTTGAAAGAGCTTTTGTTAAAATCTTGTAG